CACGCCCAGAACGCGGGCCAAATTCTCCTTCATCAGTCCTCGCACGTCGGGGCCGTGCTGCATCAGCGCTTGCTGCCACTCGCGCCTCCGAGCGATTCCCCCCATCTGAGCCGATGCGTGCGCGGGGTCGCCCGAGGTCGCGGGCGGAGATTGAGCTTGGTCGCTCAGGGTCCCCAGAAGCGGGTGGAAGGCTGGGCGATGGCCCCGCCCCTGCTGCAAGGAAAGGGACTGGTGCAGGCACTGAAGCACGAGGCTGAAGTCCGTCGGATTGGCCGCAAGGGGCGGCTCTAACCCGTCGGCGCCGCCCGCCTCGGCAAAGCCGTCGACCGCAGCGGGATGGGCTAGCCCAGGCGGCGGCGGGGGGCCCATCGGTCCGGAAGCGGACGAAGGGGCCCGAGGGACAGCAAGAGAGCGCGCCTTCTCCCACGCCGAGACCAGCGCGGAGGTGGGTCCCTTGGGGCGCGCGGAGACCCGATGTGGGGCCACGGGCGCGTGGGACAAGACGGCCTCGATCCCCGCAGGATCCAGCCCGAGGCGCGCCGCCTCGTCGCTGAAAAGCTGAGGCACCTCGGGCCGAGCGCTCCGGGCAGCCGGAGCGGGGCCCAGCGGTTCGGGTCCGCCGACCATCGTGGAGGCCGCGTGGGCTGCAAGCAAGGCGCGCATTTCGGCAGCTACCTCGGCGCGGGTCATGGGAGCCCCGTCGTCCAGAGACGCCGCAGGAGCACCAGGAGCAATCGGAGCAGGACCCGCGACCCGTGGCGGCGCGGCGGCGCCAGCGCGCTTGGCGGGCGGGCCGCGCGGCGCTCCAGCGACCGCGGGGGCTCGCGCACTTGGGGCCGCGCGGTCGGCTTCCCCGTCGGCCGCGAACCCCTCGGGCTCCTCCATCTCGTCGGCAGAGTGATAGGGGGTAGCCCGATCGGCCCCTGGGAGAGGCTCTTCCCCTGCGGTAGGCGGGGCGCCGTGCAAACGAGCGTAGCCCTCGCGAAGCACCCGAACCCCCGAAGGATGCGGCCAATAGACGCGGCTGCGCACCTCGGCGAAGGGAACGATGCCTGCGTCGTCGCCGACCTCTAGAGGGTACAGCGACTCGAGCTCGAGCTCGGCAACCTCGATATCTATAACGAGGACGGATGCGGTAGTGGCGAGCGGCCGTGAAGCGGCCCCCTGGAGCTGGACGTCCACTAGCTGGAAGGGGCCTATCATCCCAGCAAAGCCATCCGCCTCGGCAGCCTCGAGCTCCGCTGTAGAGCGAAAGGCACCAGGCAGGGCCAGCAGGATGCCCCCTTCTCGAGAGGCGAGGGGGATAGCCGCCCAGCTGGTGTCGCCGTCGTCTAGGCGCCATCGTGCGTAGTCGCGCGCCGTGGGCGCAGCGAAAGGGTAGAGCTCGGGCCAAAGGGGCCCTCCGCCAACTGGTGGCAGCTCCGCCATCAGTGGGCGCCGCCGTGGACGCCGCCGCCCGCACGCTGGGCGTCTGCCCGCTCGAGCGCTTGAGGTCGAGGCGGAACCCCGTAGGCCAGCGCTCGCGCCGCACGGCGGTCCTGCTCAGGTGAAGCAGAACCGCGCCGCGCGGCCAGGCGGAGGGCCAGAGCCTCCGCCACACGTACGGGCCCAGCAGCCCGAGGCAGCAGCCCGCGCAGGCGCTGCAGGCGGCCGTCACCCAGAGGAGGGCGGCGACCGTGCTGAGCAGCCAGGGAGAGACCCCGCCGCTCAGGTCCACCGCCAGCCCGAGGCAGACGGTGGGGCAGGTGGAACCCGCCGAAGGGAGAGGGCAGGAGGCCCCCTCACCCTCGGACGAGTCCGCCTGCTGGATGGACCAGGCAGGCGATGGAGGCCCCTGGTCCTGAAGCACAGAGAGGGGGGCAGCCACGAGCCGCTCGTAGAGCGCGGCTCGCAGCCCCCTGAACAAAATCTCCCCAGCGCCCTGGAGAGCCGCTTGTGCGACCGCCTGCATAAGGCGCCCGCACGCGCGGCCGACGGGGGGCACTTGGGCAGAGAAGCTGCGGAGACAGCAGGAGCTTGCTCACAGAGAATAGAAGAGGCATGGGCAAAGCGAGGGCGAACGCTGGGCAGAGACGATTAGGCAGGCGGATGAGGGAGGAGTGAATGAGGCAGGATGGGGTGAGGAACCCATCTGAGGCTGCACCCACCCCCTGCCCCGCGAGCTTCTGACCCTTTGAGCGCACGCTTTGCAATGGCTGGGGCCCAAGGAGTCCATCGATGCCGAGCCGTCGGATGCGTGCTGTCCGGTCACCCCAAATTGCGCGATCCCCTCTACATCACACGCCGCTTCTCTGTACTCTGCAGCAGCAATCATATCACTCGAATGCATTACCGCAGAGCGGCGGACGACATTCGCCTGGTCCTTCAAACATCGCCTCTGGTTCTAAGCTGGTCCCCAAGTAGCCTGGGGATGACGGTCCGTATTCCCAGTCAAGCCTACATCGGCAATTCGCAAGCCAAGCGCACCTGGCGTTTTGTTGCGACCACTACAGCTATGGAGCCGCGGCCAAGCCAATCTGAGCATGCATAGAAACGACTTCCAGCGGGACGAGGCACGTACCTCCAGCGAGGGAACGAGCAACAACGACAGATGAATGGTGGCAGCTGCTTGCAGCTTGAGGACGCATTTCCACAACCTGCGGCCTCCGCCAGGCTTCTACACTTCTCGCCTCGCCGCGCGCAGCACGGTTGCCTTTGCGGGCCCCGCCCGCCTGGAGAACGACAACCGTTCGGCACATGCCACCGAAGCGCGGTTTCCTCCGAGCACCTGCGGGAAACTAAGCTCATTCCCGATCCCTCCCACGCATCCCTCTCCCTTCCCTCCCCCATTCCCCCCTCCCCCCTGCCCATCCCCTCAATCCCCCCTCGCCCCCTTCCCCCTGCCCACTTCATGCATTTTCCTGATAGCCAACTTCTCCTCGTCTGACCATCCGGCACGTCGGTAACCTGGACACGGCGTTCCGCATGGGACCCCCTCTCCGTGCCTGACCCCGAAGCTTGGAACTTCGAACAGTTACACGGATGAAGACAGGGGCAAAACGTGGCTCTCGCCTGAGCGCCTGCAACATTTGCCTTCATAACTTCCAGCGGTTACGCGGATGCCGCAAAGGTCGCTTGCAAAATGTGCCTCTCGCTCCAGCGCCGCGCACACATGTCTGCAGAGTGTCCACTGGACGGCCGAATGGGGTGCCACTTCCAAAAACGTCTCTCTCTCTCTCTCGCAAAAACGCCGCGCGATGGATCTTACAAATTCCCGACAATTATTGAAAGGGTGGACGGGACCCGGTTCCAAAATGCAGCTGTCGAGATCGCGCCGCACACAGTCGCCCGGAAGAACGCCGACAGAAACACGGATGGAGGGGACGGACGGAGGGTGCTCTTCTTCAAACTGTGGCTCTCGCCAGCGTGGTCATATCGCCCGAGCGCCGTGCACATTCGACAGAAACGCGTCCAACAGCTACTCCAGATTTCGTAATAAAGGAAGGGGGGTCTCATTTCGGAGGGGGTCTCTTCCAGGCTATCTTGGAGGGCCTGGGGGGTCTGGGGACGATGTGTTGGAGGGTTCTCCCATTGGGGAGGTCTGAACTGGCTTGTCTTGGAGGGTCCAGACCCCCTCCCTGTTATTACGAAATCTGGAGTGCACGGATGGAGGGCGGTTCCTCTTCAGATTGTGGATCTTGCCGCAGCCTCGCGAACCTGCGTCTGAAAGCTCAACAGTTGCACGGATGGAGCGAACGTAGCTTTGAACACGCGGGCCTCGCCAGGGCGCCGAGCACGCTCGTCGAGAACAGCGTCCGCCGGCGGCACAGGTGGAGGGCGGTTCCTTTCCTATCTTGGAGACGTCGTACCCCTTCTAGTCCGAAGCGCCAGAGTGTACAAAGCCACGCGGTTGGAGAACGGTTCGTTTTCAAATGGGGGCTCTCGCTGTAGGGATCCTGACACTGTGATGGCCAGACGTGTAACATTGCAGGCCTCTCGCTGGACATCTCCTTGTACGCAGTGGTCCTATCTCGTCGCCGCTGTTGCAGCTAAAAGGATGGATCGCAACTCCCGCCTGAATTGCAAGACCATGTGGCGCTCGTCGTCGAAGGGGGTACTTCCCGGAGTGGCACAAACTCTTGCAAGGACCTCGAGGAGGGGTCTTGGGACACGTGGGCGTGTTGCAGCATCGTTGATGCATCTTGGGATTCCTCAGATCCTAGTCCCACGCGCTTCCAGAATTCCACACCGCCCCATCTCCGGTCCCCCTCTCCCTCCGTCCCTCTCCATCTCCTCACCTCCTTTTCACTCCTCCACTCCTCCATTCCCCTCCCTCCCTCCCTCCCCACCTGCCTGGGCCTCCGTCCCCCTCCCCGCTCCCATGTCACCGCCCTCCCCACCCTGCTACCCTGTCCGCCATCTTGCCTTCCCCCGTTAATTCTACCCCGTCCTATGCTCCAATCCTACCCCCCACCCTCATCCCTCCCTGCAAAGCTTCCCCTGTGAAGGCAAGAAGACGACGACTCTAGAAAGCCAGACAAACTGCACGACTCAACATGGCATCCCGGAGGCCCGCGCAGGTCTCCGCGGCCGAGGCCAGACCCTTGAAATCCTGAGTCCATCATAGGTGGATGCGAAGTCCTTGAAGACGGGACGGGGTGGGCACGAGCGGGCATCATAGCCGGCGCAAAATCAAAAGAGGCATCATAGCCTCATCAGTCTAGACTGATCCACTCACGGATCCACTGCAATTGACTTCCATGGACTTCATTCCATGCGTAGCATGCTCTCCCCTCCCCGGCTCCACGGCTGCACCCTGCACGCGCCACAAGTCGCCTTCCTTTACACGCATCGCGCCCCACGGTGCGCGACGCGCGACTGTCTTCGCGCCACCTCGGGTGACACCCCACGTCCACCGCCCCTGGGGAGCCGAGGTCCGAGCACTCCCGGGAGGAGCTGGGCACCTGGCCCTCGACAACGGCGACGAACGACGACGACGACGACGGAAGGCGGCAGCCCGCCTCGGATCCGACGTACTTCTTCATCAGCGAGGGCACGTCCCCCAGCTTCGATGGATTGTGCCGCTCGTAGATGGCATGTATGCGAGGGCCTTCGGAGGGAGAGAGAAGGCGGCAAAGAGGATAGAGGTGTTACGACGTTTCATTTGCATCTCTGTGGTCTCCGGAGACCTCAGCCTAGACGGGTTGCGCCGCTGGACGTAGTGTGCGTGGGCCAGCTCGCTTGCGCGCTCTCTGGCCTGAAGAACAAATCCAGCTCTCGGCGACAGAAAACGTGGAACAGCACTGTAGAGCACAAAGGTACAATATCAATCACCGAAGAGAATAACATAACACATGGGACAAACAAACTTTTGACATTACGTACTGTGGGCAGCACCGAGAAGGAAACCACAAGGGCAAAACCACCATGGAGACTATAAGAGAGACCGTACAGGCGACCAGAAGAGAGACCACACGGGAGATCATTAAGTGAGACCATGCGGGATGCAGCGGGCCGCGGGCCACCCTTTCTGGATCTGGAGGAGCTCACACTGGGGATTGGACACATCAAATGGCGCTCTCACCGGCGGGTTTCTTGGGGACGCTGCGTAGGGTAAGGTGCCCAGATTGAGGATCCACACAAACACCCCGTGTCGGCGCTGGACCCCTTCCGCTGGCGCGCGACCGAAACAGACAAACCAACAACAAAACCTAGAAAAAGACTGCCAGATCTCCTTTGTTCGCGTGCCACACACCATCTACACCGCCAAACCCTCGATACCCGCCTACGTTGTCTTCGATCGTACCCCTTTGGGAGGTATGTCATCTTTGCCTGCCACGTGCAGCTGGCGCAGCCCATCACATTGAAAGAGGAGGCGGGAACAACAAACGAGGACAGCGCACACTCCCTTGATCAAGCCGCCCAACGGAGACAGCGAGGAAGAGAGGAGGACACGAGACGAGAGGGGGGTAAGAGGGAAATTGACTACGTGAGGGCAAAAGCAATTTCGCAGGAGGGGGAGGGAAGAGAAAAAGAAGATCTGCGAGGCAGTTTCTAACGGGCGGGTCTGGCGGGAGGATCCAACTGGCGAATATGTCGGGCGGACCTGGATGGGCGGGTCGGGCGGGCGGAACCTTGAAGCGAGCGCGCTGGCTTCTAAGCAAGCAAAAGGGTGGACCATAACGGGCGCGTCGGGCGGGAGGACCCTAATAGGCGGGTCGGACGGGCGGACCGTGACGGACAGGTCGGGCTGGCGTACCCTAACGGGCATATCAGGCAGAACGGGCGGGCAGGGCATTGAAGTGAACTTCAAAACATTGTGCAGAAGCTTGCGGCGACAGCGCGATTCCTGAGTAAACAGTGACGGGGTCTCGTGCGAGAGCGCGATGCCTGAGAATATGATGGAACATCCTGCGCGAGAGCGCTTTCGAATACCAAGAACCGCTGGTACTGTAAACCGGAGGCCAACAACATAGATCTGGAGCCAAAATACTGTCTTCCCCTGGAAAAAAAACAGGGTGCGAGCCCCAGGAGGGGGATATCGATTGAAACAACAGTGGGCACCAGACGAGGGGATCAACAATAACATCCTCTGGACACTCGGAGTAAACAACAAAAAAACAAGTAATCACTTGCAACCTTTATGGGCGTAAGGATCAAGACTATTCCAGGTGGAAGCTGTCGATGGCTCCACGTGATGCTTCAAGGATGTAAGCGATAACGACGGAGCTGCTCAACCAGAAACCGCGGTGGACAAACCCGACCCGGGGAATGCAAAACAACACGCTGCCCCGCCTCCGCGGAAAGCGCGCAGTCGAGGCGCCTAACAAAGATGCACGCAAAGGACGCAAGAGGATCAGAAGGCCATGCGCGGGGCAGTGGCGCGGACAGCGAAAGTGGCCAAGGATAAGCAGAACGGGGAGGGAAGAAGGGTAGCCTTGGAAAGCTGCTGCTCCATACTATGCGGCTCGATTGAAATTTCTGGCGCCTGGCGCGTTGTCTGTTGCCTCCCCGATAGACTTCAAGTGAGCGACAAGAAGAAACGGGCCTTACGCGAGATTGCGTAACGGCCTTACGCGGTGGCTTACGCGGGCCGCCAGCGCGGAACGCTACACCGGCAACGAGGACGCTTACACGCGACCTTACGCGGGAAGCTCGCGCGCCGCGGCGCCACCGCCCCACAGCCGCAGATCGAACAAACTGTCTGCTGCCTTCCAGGTCTGCAGTCCAACAGCTCAAAAAGGACGCACAACGAGGATGCAGGGGCCTCGGAAGGCCATGTCGACACTTTTTGCAGGCGGGGCGCGCGCGGCCAGCGAAAGTGGCCGAGGAGGGGCCGAAAGGGGGAGGGATCAAGGGGAACCTTGGCAAGTCGCTCATCCTCCTTATGCGGGTTGACCGTAGGCCTGCCAGGGCTAGGATCGGGATGAATCGCTCCAGAGCGTTCCGGAGCGCTCTCAGAGCGTTGCGGAACGCTCTGGAGCGGCCGCGGCGCCCACTACATCCTCCAAACCCGCCGATTCTCAGAGACTTCGAGTTATCCCGATCCGATTTTGTCCTGATCTTCGCGTCGTTTTAGGCCTGCCAGGGCACAGAGCGTCGGATCGGGCTGCGTCGGCACCGAGCCGAGACCGAACCGGGCCAGCCGCGCCCAGATGCACAGCAGCGCCGCGCGGACAACAGACACAGCCCGCACCGGATCGTCGGAGCATCGGCCTCGGATCGGCGCGAGCGGGCTGGGGCACACGTCGAATCGAACACATCGGATCGAGATCGGCGGTGGTGCTTGCGAACGTCATTGTCCTGGAGGCGGCCCCGGGGGTCTGACCTGGACGAGGCCCCAAGGCCCTGGGCCCGAGAACGGCCCCTGGAGGTTGACAAAGGGCAGAAAACCTTGCTGAACCCTACGCCTCGAACCTGCCCCCCGCCCCCCGTTCTGCTCGCGGGAACCAATGCTGTGCCGCTATGCCACCTCAGACCCCCAGCCGGCTCCGAGGTGTCATGGCCATGTTCATGCTTCTCCCGAGACGCAAGACGGTCCGGCGGCGCGCGGGCGGCGCGGGCGGCGCCGTAGAACTCCGCGGGCCCTTCTGGCCGCTGGAGCCGCTGGTCGGCTGGCTGCGGCGGGAGTGCCTCTGCGCGCGCGGGCGACCGGGGGCGGCAACGACGGCATGCTTAAACCATGGATCGAGCTAGACAGTGTTGTTCGTTCTCGTTATGTTTTCATTTTCCCTCGTTTCGTCTTCAATCCGTCTTTCCTGCAAAACGAAATCGCAACGAAAACGGCCCTCGAAATCGCCCAAACACGATTTAGGCCGACCCCTGGTTTCAACATCAGAGGCCTCCCGAATGGGGTCCGAGTAGGCGGGGTCGAAAGATCGCGCCTCCACGGCGATGCATCGTCGATGCATCGGCGCGGTCGGCGTGGCCACAATCTTGCCCCGCATCGAGCCGCATCCACATTGCCGATGCGTCGGCGATGCGGCGCGGCCTCCGTTCCCATCTGCTCGGACCACATCTGGGAGGCATGTTTGAACATGCTTGCTGTATCTTCTGTAGACAACCACCAATCGAATTATTCCCCTGGCCAACCATCCGGCCAACCCCTCGGCCAACCGTGTCGGCCAACCCGTCGCTGGCGTTGGATTGCACCACGTCGCGTACACGAGAAAAATCGCGCTGGCGGCGAGCTTTATGTATATAAACATGCTGCACGACAGATGATACACAAGTTGCACCACATAGATATTGCCCTACCGATGTTTCACCACATAGACGGCCCCACATGTATTGCACTACATGATGTGTAAAACACAGACTGTACTACATGTACTGTGCAACATAGTGCACCCCATGTGTTGCGCAACATCGGTTGCACAACACAGTTTGCACAAGATATCTTGCACCATTCAGACTGCGCAACATAGATTGCACAGCCTGTGTATCTATAGGTGTCGCAGCACATATTGCCCCCGTAGATCGCACAACACATAGTGCACCACAAGGACTGAACTATGCATATTGCACCACACCTCTTGCACCACAAAGATTGTTGTACCACCTAGAGTGCTCCATGTAAGTAGAGTGCACAGCATATGTTGGAACACTCGGTTTGGGATGAACTCTGGCCAGCCTCGATTCACTTGCTTTGAGGCCGTGTACATATCAATATGTGAAATATACACAGATATATATATATATGTATATATAACTATGGGCAAACATAGCTATACATGTGTATATATCACATGCACTGTTGTTCAACCACGCTCGCCCAGATGCACTGTGATATCACATGCACTGTGTATATGTCACATGCACTGTTGTTGGAGCCCACCCACAGAGTGCCCTGTGATATCGTAGGCCACCGACGCAGCAGGTCGAGACCACCGGGGCACAGGACAGGACATACCGAAGACACCGTCTGCCCCGAACGGATAACTGGCCTGGCCAACGTCAGTCACTTCCCGGCCCCCATGGAATCGTGCCGATCAACCTGCATCTGGCGGCAAAACAATTGCAAAGCGTACGCTGACGGGAATGGTCACCTCCTCTGACGCGCTGCGGGGGGCGAGGACGCGGAGGCGAAATAGGGGGAAGCGTGCTCTTGAGGGAGGCCTCCAGCCGCACAGGAAGTGGAGGTGGTAATGGAGGACGACAACCAAGACATTGGAGAGCAGCGCGGTCTTGAGAGGCGCCGAGGCGGGCTCCACAGAAGGAGAGGAATGGAAGAGAAGGAAACAATTGCAGGCGGAGGACGAACCGCGGCGACGACACAGGGGTCTTGGAGAGCAGCAAAGTATTGCGAGAAAACGTCCGGCGGGCACCGTCTGGGAGTTCTCGTGGTCGGGGGACTCGTGCATGACCTCCGCAGGGGAGAAGTCGCCGTCGACGAAGTCCTTGCCGAAAGAAGCGCCAACGAGCAGAGGAGACAGCTGCCCCTGCCGCCTCCATCTTCCCTCATCCTTTCACCCCCCCCTCGTGCTAGCACGGGTTTTTCCTCCCTCACCTCCTCGGCCTCCCTCCTCCTCCTCCTCCTCCTCCTCCTCCTCCTCCTCCTCCTCTTCTCCCACAATCATTTGACAAAACACGGCTACCGTTTATGCGCGCACATGGCGGGGCAACAGGCCCGTGAAATAGAGGAGCATGACGAACGAGTCGAAGGTAATCCTGATCCCACCTCGTCCCCAATCCCCACGTCATCCCCCCCCTCCGTCCCTCCTCCCCGATCCCACGTCATCCCCCCTCCATCCCTCCCGACAGCTCCTCCGCCCCTCCCGCTCCTTCCTCCTGCGCGCACCTCTGCTGATCTACTCCAGATTTCGTAAGAAAGGGAGGGGGGTCTCATTTCGGGGGGGAGGAAATGGCTTGTCTTGGAGGGTCCAGACCCCCTCCCTTTTATTACGAAATCTGCTCACCCTCCCCACCTCCTCCCACAATCACGTGTCAGCTGGGCCATCCGCTCCTGCTCGGGCGGACCCGGCGGCGCGGGCGCAGCGGCCTGCCCGCGCTGGGGGGGGGGGGGGATGGGGAGCGGTGAGAGCGCCACCGCGTGGGGATCTCTCGTGAGGTGGCGCATCAGCACGCGCTCCAGCCTGTGGGGCGCAGGACTCGGGGATGGACAGACCCCCCTGTAGTAAAACGTGGTTTAGTGAAAACGACCTGAGGCCCAAACCTGGCGGGCGCAAGCCTGGAAAATAACGGCCACGGCGCCCTCCCGAGAACCGAAAACGGACAATTCACTAATCGACGTGTCACTGTTGGGGATTCTGTCCACCCCCGAAGGACGGGCAAGCGGTAAGGATGAGAAGCCACTACAGATAATGCAGGTGCGAGCTGTCGGAGCCCAGGAGCGCTCCGGGTTCCAACGGGGGCCCCCGTCCGACATGTCGCGCCTCTGTGCTAAGCACCTTGGGCGATCTCTGGGACCCGTGATCAGCCGTTCGGTCTGGATTGCAAATAGTGGGTTGGAGGGCTAGCTGCAAGCTCATGGTTTTTTTCTGTTGGGGCAGAGCGCAGGCTTCGACTCGGGAGCTTCAAGCGGATGGTATATGTGAGACAACTCATGGTTGGTCTTCGTGGAAAGAACAAATGGAGGGCTACTAAGCACGATACGATGAGGGAGCCATCATGCCGGATTAGGTAGGCCAGATTACGCCAATGATCACATCATGTTGAACCAGAGTTAGCGGGATTGCGCAAGCAGGACCGGGTTGGATTTGGTTGGTTTCCGACAAGGGATACTGGCGCCGATACTGAATTCAACCTCCCAACTCCAAAGGGTTGCAACCTAAGTACGATGCGGATGTTCTTTCCCCGACCTGCATGTGCAATTGGCCACCTGAGGGACGCCGCTCTCATAGCAAAGACGGCCGCTTCATCACCGTCACCGCCATCAACAACATTGTAGTCGATCCGCATGCGTGCTCCATCGTTGTTCTCATCACCATCGCGCCTCCTTCTAGTCTCACCTTGTCTCTACCTTGCGTCTAGTGCAAGAGCCTTCCAAGGCGGGGGCCCCGCACGCTTCACGAAGGCTCGCTCGCCGTGCTCTCCCAGGCTGCCGTGATTGCGTAAAGAGCGACGAGCACAAGAGCCATCCGCACACGTGTCATCCTTGCACGCGACGCCCTGGAGTCCACGCGCCTGCAGGACAGGGACAGGCGGTTGAGGAAGAGCCCAAGTCCCTGTGCTGTCTACACAGGCGCTGCGGCTAGCTTTATCCCTTGAGGGGGCGAGCTGACCCCCGTCGGCGCCGGAGGAGCCCAGGTCGCGTCGCGAGCCTGGGCCAGCCACCAAGAGGCTCCCAGAGCTGGGCCAGCGGAATGAGGCGAGGGGGGGGGCGGCCCCACGTGGGCGACGATCAAAAACGGGTCCTACGCGAGATGGTGTAGCGACCTTACGCGGCGGCGCACGCGGGCCGCCGGCGCAGAACGCCGCACTGGAGACGAAGGCGCTTGCGCGCGACCTTACGCGAACAGCTCACGCGCGCATGTGGGCGAAGACGAACCCGCTTTTGCTGCGTCGCCCGCGTGGCTCCCAAACCCCAGGCCTGCCACCTGGGACTTGATCGGGGCGGGTCGACCCCCGTCAGGGCAGACTCTGTGCAGTTTCGTGTCGTGACTGACTACCTACCAGACCACCCCAACCCAACCCGAAGACCCGAATTTGACCCGAATTTCGGGTTGGGGGGGGTAATTACGGATTCCATGTGTTTTTTCAATGTTCCCCGACCCCCCCCCCACTGGAAATCGAGGATAAATTTGGACCTTCGGGTTGGGTTGGGGTGGTTTGGTGGGTGGTGAATGACGGCTTCGGGGCCGGCCTCCGACGCCGCGTGGACGTTCCACCGTTCCGCAGCCGCGGCTTCGCTCCACATCGACCGATCCTGGGCCACCGGCGGAGCTCTACCCCCGAAGCAGCGCGCTGGGGCCACCGCCGCGTCGACACGAAGAGCGAGCCTGTCCTATCACTGCCGCGCTTGCCTGGAGAGGATACGCGAGGGGGCACAAGACTCCGACCGTTCGAGGTCGATGCATCCCCCCTTTCCCTATCCTCTCCCTGTCGTGAGGAAACCGAGAGATTCCGATGCCGCTACTCCCCGGAACACTCCCGGGGAGAACGATGTTGCGGTTTTTTTTGTAACGGGGTCCCCGCAATCTCGACCCATTCCCCATGGACCGATTTTTCATCCTGAGTCGTTTTTTGACGGTCCCGAGGCCCAACAAGGGCCCCTATAGCGGCCGAAAATCTGCCGACCTTGTCGGCGTGTGGGCCACCTGTCGGCGTGCGCTCAGTCGACGCATCTCCGTTGTCCTCTTTCCCTGCGTCTCCGTCGTCCCCTTTGCCTGCCTGCACCCTCCTCTTCAAGCCTGCCAGCGAGAGAAAACCGTAGCAGTGTCGTACTGAAGTCGAAGGGAAGCCCCTTCCATTCGATCCCACCCCCGCCGAGGGGGGGGGGGTCCCGGGAGGGGGTCCTGAGGGGGTCTCGGACGGGTCCCAGGGGGGCTGGGTGTCCCGGAGCCCAAAAAAGCATGAAGACGCGCCAAGAAGGCCCCATGCAGGCCAAAGAAGAGGACCACGAACCGACATTTCGAGCTTCCCGCCCCAAGAAGTCCCCGAAGGCCCCAAGAGCCCCTCAAGGGGTCCGAAGAGGCCCCCAAAGAGACGCAAGAGGCCCAGCAGAGACCCCAACAGGCCCAAAAACATCCAAGAGGCCTTTCAACCACAACCCCAGCACGGTGGCGGGAAGGGCCGCAGGCCACAAGGCTCCCTGTCTGTCTCTGCTACGACTCTCTCGGCCCACATGGGGAACATCTCCTTCGCCTTCTCCTGCTCCCTTCCACCTTAATCCCCCTCCTCCTCCTCCTCCTCCTCCTCCTCCTCCTCCTCCTCCTCCTCCTCCTCCTCCTCCTCCTCCTCCTCCTCCTCCTCCTCCTCCCCCTCCTCCTCCTCCTCCTCCTCCTCCTCCTCCTCCTCCTTCTCCTCCTCCTCCTCCTCGTATTCGTCGTCGTCGTCGCCTTCAGGGTCGGCGGCACTGGCCGCAAGGCCTTGGCAGTAGCGACATACCTCCTTCGTGATTGCTTCAATACGTTGGACTTCAGCGTTCCTCCTCCTCCTCCCGGACTCCCCGATCCCTCGAGGTGGAGGCGGCGGGCGCGCCGTGGCACTCCATGCGCCGGGCGGGCCCTCCGCCGGCGCACCGCCCCAGCCGGCGCCCACCGGGGGCGGCGGCGCGCCGCCCGCCGCCCAGGCGGCGCCCGCGAGCGGCGGCGCACAGCCCGGCGGAGCGCTGGGGCGGCGGGCCGCCCAGGCGGCGCCGCCCGGGGCCGCCCAGGCGGCCCCCGGCGGGGCCGCCCAGGCGGCGCCGCCCGCGGGCGGCCAGGCGGCGCTCGGCGGGGCCGCCCAGGCGGCGCCGCCCGGGGGCGGCGGCCACGCGGCCTCTGCAAGGGGCGGGGGGCCGCGGCTCGCGGGGCGAAGCTCTGCGCTCGCGCGCTGCCCGCGCGCGCGCGCGCCTGCAGGCGCCGCGTGCGCCGGCCCCCGCTGCCACCGCAAACGCGACCACGACCGGCACTACCGCGCGCCCCCACGCGCCGCCACCGCCGGCTCTGCAGCTGCGCGGTGCTGGCAGCGGGCCGCGCGAGCCGCGACAAATGCTCGCTGCCGCCCCCCCGCCTTTCGCCTGCGCGGTGCTCAAGTAGGAGGTCGACTACAGAGCTGATCTGCCCAAACGTTGCTTCGGATGTTGCCAAACCTATGAGAATTACGTACGAAACATTCCACTATCTCTTCGTTGGTTTTAAAAAGAAAACATGGGTCACATCTATTGTGTAGTCGATCTCCTATTCCGCGCCAAGTGGGGCGGGGAAGCGCGCATCCACAGGCGGAGGCCAAGCTCTGCGCTCTGGAAGTTCTTCGGCTCCCAAGGCCCCCGAGGTTTGCGCGCTCTCGCTCAGCGCGCGTGGTCCGAGGACAACATCTCGGCCCACCACGCTGACCGCTTCTCCATGTGGCCCAGCCAAACAACTACCTCCATATAACGAATGCTGACAAGGGTGTGCTCCTCATACGTTGGAGGTCTGAAGAGGGAGGGGGATAAGAAAGATGACTAGAATGATCATATCGACGTTGAAGAGTCGTCAGAGTATCATGATCGTGTGTGTGTGATGATGGTAGCCGAAACCCACACTGCAGATGCGTCGCGGCACAAGAGGATGCCGACGATGTCGAGGCGTTGAGGGCCTGACGCGTGCGGCCAAGGATCACAACCCCACGAGAGGGGCGTGCGTAAGATTATTGAGGCCACGAGCGGGATCCTGGACTGGCAGGTACGTTGTGGGTGCGGAAAAAGAGAGAGTGTGTGTGTGTGTGTGTGTGTGTGTGTGTGTGTGTGTGTGTGTGTGTGTGTGTGTGTGTCTGCGTGTGCGAATGTGTACGTATGCGCTGCCCGACAGCACATTCACTCCCAAACCGGCAGCGGAGGCTGTTGGGAAGGCGACGTCCCCGTCCGGAGTGTACGACGTCCACGGCGACACCGACATTGAATCCTGTTCGCAGTGGACAAGAACTGCTGACGGTCTCCGTAACCACTCTTTCAGTCCCTGTTTCGGCATTTCGGCATTGCAGACCTGAGATTCGCGGGTCCCGCCCGCAGGAAAGACGTACCCTTCTCATACTCCCGCCCAAACGTTGCGACAAGAGCATCCTTGGAAGGCTGAACAAAAAACATAGCCCCGGCCCTCGTCCTCCATCCACCCTTCCTCGATCCCACTCGATCCGCTGGGCCGCGGCGTCTTGGTGCGGCTGCCACGCGACGAGGCCCGGCGGACCCTCCGCCTTTTCTGCCTCTCTTTTTTCCAATTCCTAACCATCCTGTGGTGTTGGGTCCTCGTTCTGAAGAGACGGCTCCCCGCATTCTCCTCCGTCCTCCCTCCTCCTGTCCCTCCCACCCTCCTCCTTCCTCCATGCGTTTCGCTCACCCAATACAACATTTCGTGGCCTCATCGGGAGCTCCACCGAAGCCCCCAGTGCTACCGTCCACGTGCGCCCCGGAAGCCCAATTTTGCATTTGCACCCACCCAATACAAAGCTTCGTGGCCCCATCGGGAGCTTCACTACTGTCCGCATGCGTCCCGAAAACCCAATCTGGCATTTTCACCCACCCTGTACAGCGCTTCGTGGCCCAATAGGGAGCTCCGACGAAGCCCACAATGGGACCGTCCACATGCGCCCCGGAAACCCAATTTGGCAGATTCACCCACCCAGCACAGCGTTTCGTGGCCCCATAGGGAGCTCCACCGAAGCCCCCAGTGGGACCGTCCGCATGCGTCCGGGAAACCCAATTTGGACTGTCCTCTACCCAGTAAAACGTTTCCTGGCCCCATCGGGAGCTCCACCGAAGCCCCCAGTGAGACCGTCCACATGCGCCCCGAAGCCCAATTTGGCATTTTCACCCACCCAATACAGCGCTTCGTGGCCCCATAGGGAGCTGCACCGAAGCCCTCAGTGGGACCGTCCACATGCGCCCCGGAAGCCCAATTTGGCATTTTCACCCACCCAATACAGCGCTTCGTGGCCCCATAAGGAGCTGCACCGAAGCCCTCAGTGGGACCGCCCACATGCGTCCGGGAAACCCAATCTGGCAGTTTCACCCACCCTGTACAGCGCTTCGTGGCCCAATAGGGAGCTGCACCGAAGCCCCCATTGGGACCGTCCGCATGCGTCCCGAAAACCCAATCTGGCATTTTCACCCACCCAGTACCACGTTTCGTGGCCCCATAGGGAGCTGCACCGAAGCCCCCAGCGGGACCGTCCGCATGCGTCCCGAAAACCCACTCTGGCATTTCCACCCACCCAGTACAACGTTTCGTGGCCCCACAGGAAGCTCCACCGAAGCCCCCAGTGGGACCGTCCGCATGCGTCCCGAAATCCAAAGGCATTTCCACCCACCCAGTACAGCGCTTCGTGGCCCCATAGGGAGCTCCACCGAAGCCCTCCGGTACCGCCGCATGGGTCCCACACACCCAATCTGGCATTTTGACCCACCCAGTACAGCGTTTCGTGGCCCCATAGGGAGCTGCACCGACGGCCCCAGTGCTACCGCCCGCATGCGTTGCTTTCCACCCAGTGCAGCGCCTCGTGGCCCCATAGGGAGCTTCACCGAAGAAGATATTCACAGTAGCGGTGCCCACATCTGCATATGTTTGGGTCCTTCATCAGGATGATAATTCTCTCCTGCTCAACACCACCCGCCGTCCTCCCTCGATCCTCAACATCGACCCACATCCTCCTTGCAATTTCTTGGGTCGGCGCTAGACCTGCGAATGTTGAATGTTCAAGCTCGGTCCTCCTCGATCCTCCATCCTGGATGCTCCAACCCCAATCCTCGAACCTCGAGATTCGATCCTCGGCCCTCCTCGACCGCCCTCGGTCCTCGAACCCTGATCCTCCCCGGTCCCGGATCCTCCCCGATGCTCGACGTCGTCGGCATGAAGGGTAGAGGTCCCAAAGAGAGATTGGATTCGAGATCCTGAGGCCTCTCCCCAGGACCAACTCTTCGTCCCGAATCGGTTCTTGGAGGTCCCGTGGATCGTGACGGGCGCCCGAAAACGGGAAACAGGTCAGCACTCGCTTCCCTCAGGACCCGCTTAATCCATGTCGATGATCCCCGGAACATGTGTGTGTGTGTGAATGTGTGTGTGTGTGTTAGCGCCAACGTGTGTTTGTCCACCGAGGCCCTTCAATGCGAGGCAGGCGGCTCAACGAGGGCCGGCACCGACTGCGCGTCAACACACGCTGGGGCTAACACGCGTCCTGAGGATCATCGACCAAGGTGTCCTGGAACCGCCGGGTGCGCCGAAGAGGGGGGCCACGTCAGTGTACCAGGGCCAGCTGCGGGTGCTCAAACGAGGGACCACCAAGGAGGAACGCACTGAGGCAAAATGTGGAGGCTCCGAAATCTGGTAAGGACTATCCACATGCTACGCGTTGATGTTCGACACCATGCTATGCCATGTAATGCTATGCAATGCTACAACATCCGACTGTGCGAATCGAGAGGATGTCTACGCCATGGTAGGGATGGGCGGGAGGGGTAGGACGTCAGATCTGACGCGAGCGCACCCAGCTTGTCCTCCCCCCTCTTGGACACCCCAGGCACCTCGGCCCTCGATCCCTTCTCCACTGCAGGGTAACGCTGGGGACTATCGAGCATGAACCGGCGGTACTGGGCGGGGCGGGCTATCGGGAACCTCTCGGGGATGAAGGGCGATTGGGGGTCGATGCGCCCCCCGCCGGGCGCGGCCTAACCGACCCCTTCCGTGACGAGCACCTACCGTGACGCCCCCCGCGCCCTCCAGGCATCCCTCTGGCCGCGTGCGCACGTCTTGGGGTGAGGCGAGGGGGGCGGCACGGAAGGGGATGGTGTGCTGTGGGTCGGTCAGGCCGCCCCTGACCACCCCTGAGCCCATCGCCCTCTTGACGCTGCACCCGAACAACTCCGCCAGGCCGCGGCGACGTCGTCCTCGTCCTCGTCATCGTTCTCGTCCTCGTCCTCGTCCTCGTCCTCGCCCTCGTCCCCGTCCTCCTCCTCCTCCTCCTCCTCCTCCTCCTCCTCCTCCTCCTCCTCCTCCCTCCTCCTCCTCCTCCTCCTCCTCCTCCTCCTCCTCTCCTCCTCCTCCTCCTCCTCCTCCTCCTCCTCCTCCTCCTCTTCCTCCTCCTCCCCCTCCCCCTCAACATCCCCCCCTGGATGCTACCACCAAGAAGCTCCGCCGGGGGCCGCGGCGTCCTGGTGCGGCTGCCAGGCGCCCTCCGGCGGCGGAGGCCACGCCGCGCGGGCGTCCTCGGTGCGCGCGCACTTCTCGGGGGGGGGGGGGGGGGGCGACCCTCGCCGCCCGAGCCATGGGGCCCCCGCCGGGGAGGGGGAGAGGGCCGAGGACCGATGACATCGGCTCGAGGCTCGACGGAGCGAGGAGGAAGGATCGTGGGCCGACGATTGGGCCACGGGGATCGAGGGTGGTCAGGGATCGGGGTCAGATGGTCGAGGATCGAAGATCGGCGGGACCGAGGTTCGAGGATGCTGGGCGTGCCTTGCGTTGTCTCATCTGTCCGTGCGCCTTCCGTGCGGCTTCTCGTGGCCGCGGACGGATTTGCCTCGGAGCCCTTGTCAAAACGCACCTCAGGGGAGGGGTTCGGGGGACGCCCTGTGAGCTGAGGGGAGAGGAGACATGAGCAAAAAGAGAGAGAGAGAGAGAGAGAAACAAAAAAAAGAAAGGAGGAGAAGGACGGACAGAGCGGCAATCACCATAAGCTACATCCATTGTCTCTGGGGATAGCTGGATGGCTAAAGTGCTCTGTGCGCTCCTGCAAAGCGAAACGATCGCTGGGTGATCGGGAGGTGGAAGGGGGGGGGAGAGGAAGAGGAGGAAGACGAGGCAGAGGAGGAAGATGAGTAAGAGGAGGAGGAAGAGGAGGAAGGGGAGAAAGAGGAGGAAGAGGAGGAAGAGGAGGAGGAGGAAGAGGAGGGGGGAGGAGGATGAGGCAGAGATGGGGAGGAGGACCGCGAGGATCGAAGATCTTGGGCGCTTTGGGACCCCTTGTGGGTATTCGGGAGCATGCGGGAACCTCCTGCCAGACCCGCGGGAACCTCCTGGTAAGGCCTCACACCCGCTGACCGCCGGGAATGGAGCAGGGACCGACTGTCCCGGCATTCCTACGGGCCTACCAAGACATGTTCGTAGAACCCAAAACTGTTCGAATAACAAGGACGATGTTATCAGAACGCCAACCCGATGGGACAAAACAAGACAGTCTCAGCCATAAATGTTCTAAAAACATTCCGTGGAAACCACAAGAGATTCTTAGAACATTGCTTGGTGGGCATATCGGCACGCCAGGACGCTTCGTCACTGCTTGAGACGAGGGGGCCGTGATGCAGTCAATCTGGAAGGACGCACGGCAAGGATGCAGGGGCCTTGGAAGGCCAAGTCGACATCTTGCGAGCGGGGCGCGGCCAGCGAAAGCGCCCAAGGATGGGCCGAAGGGGAAGGATGCAAGGGTGACCTCGCACAAGTTGCTCATCCGTACTATGCGGGTTGACTGATGCACGCAGCTCTGCTCATCACCCTCCCCCCGCCGTCTCTCCGAGATCCGATGTCTTGACTTTTCCGCCCGGGGTCCCAGCGAGCCTCGCCCCGCTGCGTGGGACCCGCTTCCATCCCGAGCCGTGGTTTGACGGTCCAGGGGCCCGGCGAGGGCGCCGGCCAGTCTCTGGGCCTCGGGGGCCCCAGAAAGGCTGCCGACGGACCGCGGGGTGAGCTCGGAGCCCCCAACGACCTCACCGCGCGGTCCTCCACCACACGGTTCTGGGACCCCGGATGCCCCAGTCGCCCGCGACACCTTCGATGACCCAGTCGCCCGCGACACCTTCGAAGATTGACGCAAGCCCCGAAACCGCGTGGCGACCCCGAACCCCTACTGACACACCTCGATGATCCTCAGAACGTGTGTTAGCGCCAGTGTGCGCTTGTCCACCGAGACCCTCTCATACGACGCAGGCAGCACCACAAAGGCCGACACGGACTGCGCGCCATCGGCGGAGCCGCACAGGGTAAACACGCGCTTGGGCTAACACGCGTCCCCAGGACCATCGATCACCACTCGGCGGCGAGCGAGGGGGGAACTGAGACGGGGCGGGAATTCTCAGAAGGCTCAGAAGTCCCCGGGCCTTCCGAGCAGATCTCTGAGCCTTCCCCGAAGGACGCGGAAAACCTCTCAAAGGCCTGAGCGCTTCTGAGAGGCCCCGCCGACTTCTGAGAGGGCCTTTTCCCCCTATCGCTAGCCGTTGGGAGGAGGAGGAGGTGGAGGAGGAGGAGGAGGAGGAGGAGGAGGAGGAGGAAAGACATCACGATCATGGAGGGAAGAGGAGGACTACCAAGAGAGCGAAGAAGAAACGACTACACACACGTAAACTTTCGGAGCTCCCCGCCGAACCATACTGCTCGGGTGCCCCCGACGGTCCTCCGGCGGCCCAGGCGGGGGCCCCGGGGGCAAATCGTCCACGGGCGCCGCGCCCAGGGGGTCCGGCGGCGGGGGCGGCGGCTCCTCCTGGGGCTGCCTGCCGGGAACACGGGAGCTGGGGTTGGGGCTGCTCCATGCGGGGGCCGCTGTCAGCGGCGGGTGACGGGGAGGGAAGCGAGAAGGAGGAGGCCTTCTCAGAAGGCGGCGGGGCTTCTCAGGAGGCCCTCGCGCCTTCTAAGAAGCGTTTGGTGTCTTCGGGGATGGATTCAGGACACTTCAGAGGGCAGGGGGACTTCCGACACCCCTGAGAAAGACGTATCCTTCTCAATTCCCCCACGAGGCTCGCCGCCGACTTTGGGCGGCATGTTCCCAGACAGCTGGCGCCTCGAAACAGAAATCGAGCCCGAGGGTTTTCGGCTTTCTGCGGCCCCCCTGCTGCGGGCAGTCACACGGAGACGACCCGGGACGAAACGGGCAGCGGAGCGGTCGAGCGGACGGGGCCCAGAGGCGCCGGACGTCTGGGTTCAGGCGAGGCGAAGTGCAGACGGCATAAGCCCGGACGGAGGCCAAGAAATCTATGCGGACTTACTCCGCACGGCTGTCTCGCCCAGAATCGAATCGACAAGTCGGGTCGGAAGTCGACACGAGTCGGATCGGCGGAAGTCGGCAGCCGAGTCGGGAAAAGTCGGATCGGCAGAAATCGGCAGGCCAGTATGCCTCCAACAAGTGAGCGGAACCCAGGTCGGAATCCCAGGTCGAATCGGATCGGAATCGGAAGCCATCGACATCGAGTCGAATCGAATCGGAGGAGTCGAAACGAGCCCTGTGTCTCATCCCTTCAAGAGAGGCGGAGTCTGGACGGCGCAAGCCTGGGCGGAGACCGAACACTCCGTACGGACTTGCTCCGTACGGACTTAGCTGAAGGGGCCCCAGGACACGCAAATAAATACACACAAATAAAAGTATTCCCCCATATTTTCCCACATGTTCTGGGTTCCTGTCTTCCCCCCCACTTCCCATATTTTCCCATATTTTCTGGGGAATCGAGGATTAATTGTGTCTGTGTGTGTGGTTTCCCCTCCTGATTAGCAGCCTCCGAGGCGTGCTTGCTGCAGGGCGCGCGAGGGCTGCACGGCAGGCAGCAGCTTCGGGAGCGCCAGCCCAAAAGTCCGAGGCTCCGAACAAATTGGAGCGGCGGGTTTTGGCGGCGCGCACAAGGGGGTGGAGGGAGGGGGGGCGGCTTCTTAGAAGGAGGCTGCTTCTTAGAAGGCGCCAGCCTTACATCTATAGATAAGGCCCGCGCCTTCTAAGAAGCAGGGGTGCTTCTAAGAAGCCCTCCCCCCTCCCCTCACCCCCCTTTTGCGCGTGGCTGAGGGTTTTCGCCGAATTTGGGCCTCTGGGGGGCCTCAAAGAGCTCTGGGACCGGTAAAGAAACGATTCAAGAGGAAAAAGGCGCCCCACGGGGAACTGAAATGGGAGCACAGGCTATCTGAGAACGCACCTGGGTGACGGGGGGTACGGCGAGACCAATCCCAGCTCTGCTGTGGATTTTCCGACCGGAACAGCAGACTTGAGGCCCCACCCAAGGATTTACACGACTGGCTTGGCGTCCGGCCTCGACACGGGTGCGTCTGAGAATAGCCCTGCATGGGGAGTGTCCCCAAGTCCGCCCCTCCTTCCCTAAACGGCGTGATTCTTTTGACTCGGGGAGTGATTTGGGGATCGCATCCGCTGCTTCCTCCTCCTCCTCCTCCTCCTCCTCCTCCTCCTCCTCCTCCTCCTCCTCCTCCTCCTCCTCCTCCAGACCTCCAAACATCCAGCAGACTGGTCTGTCCAATCCTGCGTCTCTCCAAAGGGGCCCCAGGACACACAAATAAATACACACAAATAAAAATAGTCCCCCTATTTTCCCACATTGTCTGGGTTTTTGTCTTCCCCCCCACATCCCATATGTTCGCATATTTTCCTGGGGATGAACGCTTAATTGTGTCTGGGTGTTTTTTCCCCTCCTGACTCTCCTCTATGCCGGCCTCACTGAGGGGGAGCCTCACGAGGAGCGCCTGCAGGTCGAGAAGCTGCGGCCGGCCACCGCCGCGGCGGCCAGTGCGCTGGCGTCTGTCACCGCGCGGGCCGCTCCACCTCGAGCGATCGCCGCGTTCCGACCACGAGGAGTGTTCGACGTCGGCCGATTCTGGGCCACTCCAGCAGGAGCTCGACCACGAGAAGCCTGCCACAAGAGGCCCGGCCTTGAGACCCCAGGACGCCCATGGAATCTTGGTGTGGGAGCGCCACGCTTTCGACATCGAAACCCAACCCAGTAAGACCAGGGCACCCCGGAGGCCACCCAGGGTGCCCCTTAAGCATGGGCCCCCACTGCAGCCGCGCTCCACCTCGAATGCCCGCCCTGAAGCCGCCGCCGCGTCGGCACGGTGCGAACAGCGGTACACCTCTGGAAGGGGCCGCGGGGGGGCTGGGCCCGCGGGCACCGACACTCGCATCGTCGGAGTGCGGGTCCGCCTCGCGTCCTTTTCCTCCGCTGGGGCCTCGCCCTCCTCCGCCTCGTCCTGCGCCTCCTTCGCCCCGTCCTGCCAGAAGCCGCGTTTCCCCAAAACTCGTGGATGTCATGGCAGTGGACACTCGAACAGCCCTGCCACTGAATTACAGCAGGGGTGCAATGTCCTATACATGTTCCCACGCATGTGTTCAGCTTTCGCTGCATGTTTAGCACACCTGATCACATGTTTTTGGACCTCTCGAAATTATGGGGCTACGTGCCTCCTCTCCATTGATCGTCTTCCACAACCCCAAGTGAATGGTGATGCGCAGGAGACTCGCTAAGATCGCCCAAACCCTCTGCGCTGTCCGCGATGCGTTGTGCCGGGGTCCCCCCATTCTCCTCCCCTGCCGTCTCCTCCCTGTTCCGCCTCGTCGTCGTCGTCCTTGTCCTCATCCTCCACCTTCTCCTCCTCCTCCTCCTCCTCCTCCTCCTCCTCTTCCTCCTCATCCTCCTTCTCCCCTGCGCCATGCCCCTCGTCACCTTCCTCGCCCCTCTCCTCGCCCTACCACTCGCCTTGATCTTCCCGTGCCTCCTCCTCCTCCTCCTCCTCCTCCTCCTCCTCCTCCTCCTCCTCCTCCTCCTCCCCCTCCGGGGCCGAGCCGGGGGCGAAAACTCCCGCCATGGGACTCCCACGGCGACTTCTCACAGGAAGGACAGAGAAGGGAAACAGGAGAAAGAGGAGGAGAAGGAGGACAAGCAGGACACGGAGAAAAGAGGGAAAGGGAGAGAGGAGGGGCCGGAAGTGAAGGACAAACGCATTCCCGCTGCTGCCGCTCTCGCTGCTGCTGATCTTCCTCCACACTCCTCCTTCAACTCTCGCCTCCTCGCTCGCTCGCAGACTGACGACAACAGATCCTGAAGGTGATGCCGACCTTCAGGAACAACACGACACGGCGACAAGGGCCCCCAGAAACCCGACACAGGGCAAGACCCACCCCATGGCACCCACCAAAGGGGGCACCCTCTTTCTGAGATCAAATCCTCCCCCCTCTTCGTCTCTCACACCTCCCGCTGCTGCTGCTGATCCTCCTCCATCCCATTCCGTTATAGTTGGCTCCTCTCGCTCCCCCAGCAATTCGTTAGGGCGGGCCGGGTTTCGCCTGAGACTGCGTCACTTCGTATCATCCTGAACCTGGAAACCTGAGAGTCACACGGATGAAGCAAAGTGAGTGAACAACTATAGGTATCTCGCCACAGCGCCGCGCACTTTCGCCATGACAACGTTCAACCACTACACTGATGGAGGACGGCTCCTTTTCAATATGGGATTTGGGGCTCTCGCATTAGCGCCACGCCCGACTAAGCCAAATTCAACCGCTGTAGAGTTTCGTACATAAAACCGAAATTCCAGGAATGAGCTTCTGCGTGATCTGTGACGTCAGGACGCACCAGTCAGATGCCTTCGCGGGGCTCACGTTCCAGGAACCGAACCCTGGACCAGCTCAGAGGTGTCACGACTTGACAGTCACAAAGTCAGGGGGCGCTTCCAACAATGATACTGAACTCTTTTTGGGCCTATGAGGGACCAATGGGCGATTACCCCCATGGGTGAGGATGGATACTGGTCGCTTCGAATTGCTCATGGCCTATCCTGACCTTGGGGTGTGTGCTAGTGACTCATGGGCCTGAGATGTAATGGCCGACAGGGGATGGGGATACCTTAGAACATACTGACACTGGTCCCCATCCTCTACCTCTCTGTCTGAAACCAGCCGCGGGAGCACAAGCTTGAGGCAACATCCTCCTCGCTCCAGTAACTCCCGCCTCCGTCATTCCTCTTCCCGGCCCCCACCTCAGCCCTCTCCAGGAGAGCCCAGAATCGAATCGATAAATCGGATCGGCAATCGACATGAATCGGATCGGCGGAAATCGGCAGCCGAATCGGGAAAAGTCGAATCGGCGGAAATCGGCAGGCTAGTATGCCTCCAATAAGAAATCGGAATCCAAATCGGACGCCCAAGTCGAATCGAATCGGAGTCGGAACCCATCGAAGTCGAATCGAATCGAATCGGAGGAATCGAAACGAGCCCTGCCTCTCCCCTCGAACTCTCCAGCTTCTCCCCCCTCCTCCTCCCCCCTCCTCGCTCCTCCCTCCTCCTCCCCCCCTCCTCCAGAAGAGAAAAGAATCCGCCGGAGAGCTGGCACCAGGGCAACCCTCCGGCTGCTGCGCGCGTGCGCCGAAGCCTCCGAGGGCCACTCTCGGGCCGCCAAGGGGCCTCCGAGGACCTAGCCGCAACGGGGAAAAGCGTGTCTCACAGGGAACAGTAACGCCCATGCGGCAGCGATTACCTCGATTTCCCATTTCGGGGCCTCCTGGGAGGCCCTCGTCGCCACCGCTGGATTCGCCTCGAAATTCTGATCAGAACGCACCCTGTGAGAGGTCCGGGGAGTAGCGGTATCGGTACATGCTGGTGTTCCCACTGCCTACTGTGCAAGAGCGCCTTGGGGGAGGCACATATGCCGTCAGAGATACGTTCTTGCAGAAGGGCCCCCGTGGAGACCTCCCAAGATCCAATATGGGGTCCAAAAACATGGGGTCGGAGGATTGCGCCACATCGCCAATGCATTGCCGATACGTCGGCGATGCGTCGGTGACGTCGGCCATGCATCAGCGCCGTCGGCGTGGAGATACTCGGTATCCACATTGAGCCGCTTCGTATCGCCAGCAGTCGCGCGCGCGCTCGCCTGGTCGGCGCCTGGGGCATGAACGGCGGCTGCAGGGACGGCTTCACGCCGAAGGACACTCGCGGCCTCGGGGGGGGTCGAAGGATGCGGCAAACCTTGCCCGTCGGGGTGGTTCCGCTTTGCGGAATATTATACGGGTGGGAAATCGTCAGCCTTCAGAGAAGGAGTTTACGCTTTGCTTGAAGGCCTGTGCGTTGAAGGGCGCCCACTGGTCCAACTCTGGGCCGGGGGGGGCAACAACGAGGTGTCTCGAGCCTGGTCTCGAACAGATCCTCCTGCTCCTCTTACCTCCCAACTCCTCCACTTCCTTGTTACGGGGAAGAGTGGAGATGTGAAGAGGGGGAGGGGGCAAAAGGTGGGGGAGGAGGGTAGGGAGGGAAAGAGGGGGATGAGGGGGGAGGGGACTGGAACAGTGGGAGGTGCAGGGGGAGGAGGAGTGAGGGGAAGGCAGAGGATGTCTTGTTTCGCAAGGCCTCTACTGGCGAGCAGTCTTGCTTCGCCAGCCAAGGGAAAGGCAGAGGATGAGGAGGACAAGGAGGACAAGGAAAAGGGGGAAACTGGAACTGCTTCTAGCGCCCCGCCTTAGGAGAGAGGACAGAACAAAAGAGCGAGGACAGATCACAAAGGAGTGGGCCCATGAACACCTTAAGAAGACATACAGCTCAGGACCTGGCTTACACATGCAAACCTCAACAGTGCCGATACATCTCCCAAACAGAAAAACGGATGTCCACAAATTCTGACTCGTTACTCACCCGCCTGGTGTTCTTAGCAAACCCAACAAAGGGCATCCTGGACGCGATCTCCTCCGCGAGCTTCTCCTGCAACCGCTGCTGCTCCTCGTCCTCAAGACATGGGGCTGGAGCCGGTGGACCAGTAGCGAGCAACTTAGACAGTAGAACTCCAAACTGTCAAGCACTGCGAACGCATCCAACATGACCTCTGCTCGAACAAAAAAGAACCACACATACGTAAGATGCAACACTGCCTTGCACACTGGCTCCGTCGACGTGCGCAATTTTCAGCACCATCGTGAACCAGCGAGAAAATACATGACCAGCACTGAAAATGCGGTCTGTGGGTCGCGCGCATTCAAAGCATCTTGGAACCGACCAATCATCCAACCTCAACGTGGGCATAGACAAACAGCAAATCATAACAGTTTGCACGCCTGCAAACTAGCACTAGCGACGTGACGTGCTGGGAAACAGTTGTGGTACCTGAGATTTGCGATGATACGAAAGAGGGATCATGCCTGGTGATTTTGTCTATGGTTCCGAACTGCAGGGGGTCCATAACGTGGAACGAACATTGAGCAGGAACGATGCGGCTACGTGTCGAACCCAACGTATTTGATGTTATAGCCGATGTTTGTGTCCAAAGCCGCCCCCATGCGCAAATACAGCAATGTGAACATTACACATCCTCCTCCTCCTCCTCCTGCTCCTCCTCCTCCTCCTCATCTTCATCATCATCATCATCATCATCATCATCATCATCATCATCATCAACAACTCTTCGGTCCTTTTGGAGCTCTCTTGGGGCCTTTCTGGTGACCTATTGGAGACCTCGCAATAAAGTATCTGGCGCGGCCATGTGAAGTGCTCTACCGCGGTGGGGGGCTTCTGGGGCTTCGTGGGCTCCCCAAGACATGTCTTGGACCCCCCTGAGGCCTCCTTGAGACCTCCTGGTGATCTTTTTGCCCCCCCCCCCCCCCAATAGAACATCTGAAGCAACCGTTTCAGCACCTCTACCGTGAAATGCGCTTCTAAGGCTTCTCAGAGCTCCTGGGGCCCTGGGACACGTCCCCGGGGTCCTGGGGTCCTCAAGACGTGTCCAGGGAGCCCTAAGCAGCACTAAAAACGCCCCTCGCGGCAGAGGTGCACAAACTGTTGTTTCAGCTGCTGTGCTTGGTGGCTGGGGGCAAGAGATCACCTTCGGGGACTTCAGGGCCTTCTTGGCACCTTCTTGGAGCCCTCCTGGGCCTCCTGGAGCCCTCTCGGGGCCCTCCTGGCGTCCCCTCGGGGCCCCCACGGCAGAGCATCTGGCACGATCGTTTCATAGACGCGCCACCGCCGCGGTGGGACCTGCAAGAGCTCCGTGGGCCCGCCAGGATGGCCCCTCAGAGCCTGCCAAAACGAGGTAAGATGACCCGAGGTGGCCCCACCCCGGAAGAATAACCCTGTGCCCCTGATATTAAGCCCCTGGGGATAAGAATGTTCGAGGTCCAGGAGGGATAATCAACATTTTCCCGTAGAACGCAGCGTGATAATGGTGATGATGATGATGATGATGATGATGATGATGATGATGATGATGATGGTGATGCTGATAGTGATGGTGATGATGATGATGATGACGATGACGATGACGATGATGATGATGATGATGATGATGATGATGATGATGATGATGATGATGATGATGATGATAGAGATGATGATGATGATGATGATGATGATGATGATGATGATGATGATGATGATGATGATGATGAGGAGGAGGAGGAGGAGGAGGAGGAGGATGCTGATGGTAATGATGATGATGATGATGATGATGATGATAATGATGATGATGATGATGATGATGATGATGATGGTGATGGTGGTGATTGTGATGGTGATGATGATTATGATGATGATGCTGCTGATTACGAAGATGACCCGAGGTTGCCCCACCCCCAGCCGACGCGGGAGAATATAGTCAGCCTGCGCTGCCAAGCTCTGCTCCTCGTCAGAACTGCCCGCCACGCCCTCCGCTCGCTCCTCCCCTTGACGGCCCCCTCACAAACTCCATCACCATGACACGACCGACCTTCTACGAATATTCATCCCAGTATTCAACATACCTTCTACGAGAATAAGCGATTACAACTTGGAAATGGTTTGACCTCACCGGGTCATCTTGGAGCACGCGCGGATGCCTCTTAGTAGCCTCTTGAGACCCTCTTGGAGATATTCCAGGGCCTCTTCAGGCCTTTTCAAACTTTATGTTGCTTGGGCCTCTTGGGACCTCTTCGGGACCTCCATCAGCCTCTCGGGGGCCTTGTGGATCTTGTGGAAGTCTTCTGGAAAACATAATCGGTCTCTTTGACGTTTCTGGGGAACCTCATGGGGCCTCGGGGGAACTGTTCAAGGCGTCTGGTACCCACCTACCCGAAGCCCTCCGGCTGCTACATTCATCGTGAGGTTCGCTTCTGGGGTCGGCGTCACTGGCCGTAAAAAGCCTTACCAAACCAACAATATGTAAACCACATGCGTGCAACGTATACGACTTGCGAGAATCCCACCAGCCCTTGAGGGCGAAGGTGGTTTAGGGTGTTTCCTCTTCCACCCCCTTCTTCCCCTTCGGAGAGGGGTTTATCACAGTTCCCTGTTAATATACACCCACGAAGCCCCCCAGAGACCCGCAAGAGGCTGCTGACAGAGTGCCAACGGGCCACAAAAAGGCATCGAAGTACACCCCTGCAACGAGGGCTCCAAGAAGCAGCGCAACAACCACGCAACAATATGGCCACGCCACGCTACAGCATCGTAGCACTGCGTCCGATATTGCCCGAATATGGTTCAACCGAGCCTATTCGGCATTTCGATGCTGCGCTGGCATAGTGGCGTTGTTTGCCACTGGCTGTAGGATAACACGACCTCGTCACAAATACATCCGCTGAGAGACAGTCGGGCGTCCTGAGCAGATTGCAGCTCTTCCTCCTCTTGCCTACAGCAAGCATGCCCGCAGAACAAACAAAAACATTAAGATCTGCATGCCCGAATAATGCTACCTGAGGACTACAACGTACGCTGACTTCCTCGCGACAATTAACTATAGGGACTTTCGAAGGGGACTTGCCCTCGTACTCCTACTCAAAGATGAACTGCACTATATCGGATCCTGTACGAGTGCGTGCCGCAATATCTAGGACATCTGCGTTACAACTGAGGCCTGCGCGACACTCATGCCGTTGACTCACAGATCCGGTTGCGAGCAAATTCTCCATGTCGACATGCAAACAGCTCCAGAGGGAGAAACCTGTACGACAAGCCACGTACTTGAACGCGCATGTGAGCTGCCAATATATGAATGCTGCATTCCGAATCCGCAGGCGTTGAAGTCGACTCAAAGTTTGCGATGTGCCTGGGAGTGTCCACCGATGGTGCGATACAAACGATAGGTCGACGATGCATGCGCGCAACCAGTCGCAACAAGTTCGCTCTGACTTCGCTCGTCCCACTCACGCTGACCTGAGCCACGGTCCTCACAGTGCTGATGCTCGTGCTGCTCTGTCCGTCGCATCCATGCTACCGTCGTGCGATCCACCATCACTGATGCCGATACGGCGACTGCTCACTGACGTATACGTTCAGCGCATGCCTTCTGGCAGCCCATTCTCGTTGCCGCCACACCGCGTTGACCTCTCACGGGCCAGCCCCACAAGCAGCGGTAGGAGGAATGCTCAGGAGGGAGAAGAGCTGAGACAAAGGTCTAATGTTCACCTACCCGAAATGACCTACGTGGCTTCTGCGTCACCGAAAAACCCACCAGAGGGTCAAATCTTGCTCCGAGAACGCCCTGAGAAGCCTCCCTCCGAGCAGCTCCAATGGGCTTCAAAAGAGCCGCAAGGATTATCATGTACTGCCCTGAGAGAGGCCTGAGATAATCCCAACGGGGCCCCAATGAATCAAAGGACCAACTACAAGAGGAGCGGCCCCTTGGACAGACCACAAATCATCCCCAGAGGGCCCCAAGAGCCCCCAGCGGGAACAGGTCGAGTAAGAGAAGGGCGATGACGGCGATGGCGACGGTGGTGTCCCTCGACGCCTGGGGCAAATGGCCGGCGGCAATGGGCGATGGCCGTCGGACACCGCGAAGGTCAAATCTGCTGTCGAGGATGGATTGCCACTGGGCCAAGCTGGCAAAGCCTGATGGGGCCAGGGCAGCCCCCCCTTCCTCCCCCTATTTCGGCGATGGACGAACCTCCCTTTGGCAAACCTCCCTTTAGTGAAAACGGCCCAGGACCGAAAGCGACGGCGACGCCCTCTCGCGAACCTAAAACGGCCAATCAAGGCAGGCGGTCTATCAAGGCCGGCGGCCTCTCACTAATCGACGTGTCGAGGCAGGAGGTCTATCAACCTCCGAACATTGCCCTCTTCCTCCTGATTTGCCTCCGCCGGCGCAGCACCCGCCTTCTGTGCCCACCTCTTCTCCTCAATAGACGTGAACCCTCCTCGTGTCCTGCTTCTCTTCCGCCTCCTCCTTTCCTTTCCTTGCCTTCCCATCCGCATCGTTTGCCTCATTCCGGCTCACAATATGATATACGTTTCCCCCTCTTCTTTCACTCCCTCCTCCTCGCCACCCTCCTCCTCTCACTCATCACACCATCCCACAACTGCGTCTTTCCCCTGATCATCCTGCTATTCCTCTTCAGACTCCGACCGCTCCTCCTCAGACGCCGCCTCCTTCTCACCCCAACCCTGGCCCCCGCCTCCCCTCTTTTCCTGCTCGCCCCTCCCGCCCGTGCTGCCCCTCCCCAGGAGAACCCATAATCGAATCGATAACGCGTCCAATGAGAACTCGGGACCAACATCGGAATCCCACGTCGAATCGAATCGGAATCGGAAGCCATGGAAATCGAATCGAATCGAATCGGAGAAATCGAAACGAGCCCTGCCTCCCCACCCTCGCCCGCCGCCTCCTCTTGCTCCTGCTGCCGGCGTGCCTCCTCTGAGAGGCGGGCGGGCGCCTTCGCGGTCGCCCGCTCCTCCAGCTCCATCGCGTGGAGCTCGGAGAGTCGGCGGCTCTCCTCGCACCCGCAGGAAGGGAAGCATATAGGAAAGGAGACAAGGCGCCCAAGAAGGAAGGGCGCGGCAGGAGGGACGGGGGCGATGCGAGCACTGGCCATCGCTCGGACGTCCACTCCCTGTGTTTTTGTCGGTTTCGTGCGTGGGTTTTTTTCGCCAAGTGATCAAGGATGCTCCTCGATGGCCCTCGCCGAAGGACAAATGCACACGTCCGAGCGATGCCAAGAGCAGAGAACACAGATATACGCCAGAACCACGCGCGCGCGCTTCGTGCGCGCTTAGGTCCTATTAAGTTATGGCTGTAGGCTGAAGTGTTCGGCATCGGCGGACATATAGAGAATAATGCCTTATTTGTGCACATCCCCTTGGGAGTCTCCAGGGATTGTTGGGCCGTCTGAAGGCCATCGTGGAACATCTTGGGGCCCTTTGGACATCTGGGGGCATCGCTGGCCTTCCAACGATCCACGTGGTCTTTGTGACGTGTCCCCTGGCGTTTCATCTTCCTTCTCACGCGATGCATGGGCAACCCTTCGCTCGCAGGAGGGCTTGCTCTGCTTCTCAAAGCCCTCATATAGCTTGAAGACGACCCAAAAGAGCCCCTGGACGCCCTAAGCTGGCCTCCAAACGGCCAGCGAGGTTCAGCAGACGCCCCAGGAGGCCCCTAAGAGACCCTCAAGAGGCTCCCAAGGGGCCGCCAAGATACCCCGAGAAGGTCCCCTAGAGGCTATCCGATGTCCCCCAAATGGCTTTTACAACGGCTGGGGAGCACACAGTCCAAACGCGGGACCAAACTCCCCCAACGGTTAGACACATGGGCGGTTCCCCTAGAAAGCACGGGACGGCGTTGCTTCGCCATAGGCGCCTTCGATCCGTCGCCTCCTGTTGCTCGCAAGAGGAGTAGGCGGCCTGCCAAGTCTCATAGCACGGCCGGCCCCTCCAAGTTACTCCTTGTGGCACCGCACCAACCACCCGACATCAAGATACCTCGACTGCATGCCAACCACCATGGCCCACTATGTTCCACAAGACGGGCTCAGATAGCCCAAGACGGTCACGAGTGATCTCCAAGATGGCCCGACGGTCCCGAGAAGCCTTCAAGTTTGCCCCATATGCTTCCAAGACGGCCAAGATGGCCATGGCTTCCCAGGGCAGCCTGAAGAAGCCCAACCCACTGGCCCCCCCACAGGCCCCCGAGAGCGCTCCGAACTCCAAGAAGAAGACCTGAAGACTCTGACCCAAAACCCAAGCACGGTTGTGTGACGGGCCTACGACCCTTCGGCATAGGGCCCCCGACACAATCAATCAAAGGGGTCGGCGGATGCGGCGCAAACCTGTAGAATCCACGTCCAGGAGTGAAGTGTTGCCAGATGCAGGTCTGCGAAGGCGATAATGCAACGTATCCTAAGTGTCCAATAGTTGCAGAATTACGCAATGTCTTTATGGTGTTACGTTATTATGTGTCCCCCCATAACCCCCCCCCGGAATCGCGCCACGTTATATACCCAAACGTGACGGGCCCTTTTTGGGGCTTCGGAACCAAAACAAAATATGGGAAATCTATGGGTTGGGCCTCTGGGGCCACCTGGGGGTCCAAGACTGCGTCAAGACGCCTCAAGATGGCCTCACTACGGGCCAAGACGACCCCAAGACCGTCTAAGATGGCCCCAAGAGGGCGCATAACGCCCTCTAGAAGGCCCAAGAGGGCCCCAATAAGGCCCCAAGATTACCCTCACGAGCGCTTCCAGATGCCCACATCAGTGATTCCCAACCATCATGTGGGGTTGGGTCCTCGTTTTGAAGAGACGGTCCCCGCGTTCCCCTCTTCTCCTCTACCTCTCCACCCCCCGTCCCCCCTCCTCCCGTCACCCCCCTCACTTTGGCCACACGTTTCGTGGCCCCATAGGGAGCTCCACCGAAGGCCCTAGTGGGGGTGCCCGCATGCGGTCCCCACACCCATTTCGGCACACCCCTCACACGGTTCGTGGCCCCACAGGGAGCTCCAACGAAGGCCCCAATGCCACCGTCCACTTGCGTCCCCCCATGCCCATGTCGGCACACCCTTCACACGCTTCGTGGCACCATAGGGAGCTCCACCGAAAGTCCTGGTGGGGGTGCCCGCATGTGGTCCCCACATCCGTTTCGGCACACCCCGCACACGTTTCGTATTGCCCGCTGCGGTCCCCGCACACATTTCGGCACACCCCCCACACGTTTCGTGGCCCCAGAGGGAGCTCCACCCAAGGCCCTACTGGAGGTGCCCGCATGCGCTCCTCACACCCTTTTCGGCACACCCCTCACACGTTTCGTGGCCCAACAAGGAGCTCCACCGAAGGCCCTACTGGGAATCCCGCACGCGGTCCCCCACACCCACTTCGGCACACCGCTCACACGTTTCGTGGCCCCATAGGGAGCTCCACCGAAGGCCCCAGTGCCACCGTCCACCTGCGTCCCCCGCACCCATTTCGGCACACCCCTCACACGTTTCGGGGGCCCTTAGAAAGCTCCACCGAAGGTCCCAGTGCCACCGTCCACATGTGTCCCCCACACCCATTTCGGCACACCCCTCACACATTTCGTGGCCCCATGGAGTCTCCTCCGTAGGCCCCAGCGCCACCGTACACATGCGTCCCCCACACCCACTTCGGCACACCCCTCACACGTTTCGTGGCCCCATAGGGAGCTCCACCGAAGGCCCCAGTGCCACCTTCCACTTGCGTCCTCCAAACCCATTTCGGCAACCTCACACGTTTCGCCGCCCCATGGCGAACTCCACCGAAGGCTCAAGTGCCACCGCCTGCATGCGTCCCCGAGCCATTTCGGCACACCCCTCACACGTTTCGTTGCCCCATAGGGAGCAGCTCCACCGAAAGCCACAGTGTCACAGTCCACATGCGTCCGCCGCACAAATTTCGGCACACCCCTCAGAAGGTTCGTGACCCCATAGGGAGTGCCACCGAAGAAGATATTCGCAATTGCGGTCCGCACAACTGCATATGGTTGGGTCCTTCGCAAGGCTAATATTCCTTACGATTTGAAAGAGTTTAGTATTCTCGCATCGTTCGTCTCTGAGAGCCCCCTGACGGCCCAAGTGGCCTCCAAGAAGGCCTCAAGACGGCCCAAGCAACCCCCGAGAGGGCCCCAAGGCGGCACAACACGGCCCCAAGACGATCCAAAAAAGCCCCGAAGACTGTCCAAGAGGCTCCCAAGACGGCTCCAGAGGACCTCAAGAGGGCCCCAAGGTGGCCGCAAGAGGCCCACAGGATGGCCTCTGAAGGGGTCACGCGGCGCAAAAGCGCTCCGAGACGACCCAAGACGCCCCCGAGAGTTGGCAGGAGGCCCCAAACAAGCCCCCAGGAGGCCCCAATACACTCTCAAGAGGCTCCCAAGAGGCCCCAAAGAGGCTCCCACCAAGTCCAGCAACGACTGGACTGCACGTGATGCGGACGTGCACCCCGCGAAACGAGAGGAATCCACGTCCGGAAGCCCGCGTGCTGAGCTGCAGCGGTTCCGCGGATGCCGTAATGCAATATATCCCAGATATCCGAGTGTTGCACAAGTGTAACATGTTGGATTGGGTTACGTTGTGATGCATCTCCCCAAGATGTCTCGAAGAGGCCCCCAAGACGGCACATGAGGCCCCCAAAACGGCGCAAAAGGACTCACATCGAACCATAAGGCGGCCCAGAGAGGCCCCCAAGACGGCCTCCGAAGGGGGCTGACGGCGCACGATCGCCCCAAACCTGCCCACGAGGCCCCCAAACGGCCCAAACGAGGCGCCCGATACTCCCCCAAGAAGCCTCCAAGAGGCCCCCAAGGAGCCTCCTCCTCCTGTAGCAGCACAAGACGTCTGGGGCAGGGCGGCGCCCGCCGCCGAGCCAGCGCGGGGACCCGCGCCGAAGAGGCCGCGCGAGGGCGAATGCGAAAGCGCGCGCTGCGGGGGGGGCACGGCGGGGGGGCGCGGGCGCGTCCTCCTCGCGCTCCCGCTGCAGCTTCTCCTCGGCCCCGCTGCCCCCCCCGCGGAGGGCATGTATCCAGTGCTGCGGATGCCATGACAATGGACACCCTGACAGTCCTATCCGTGAAGTAACCATATGTTCAAAATGTTTGAAACATGTTCGAAACATCTGGAAACTATGTGGCAACATGCGCCCTCTCCATTGATCGTCTTCCACAAATACCATGCGGACGCAGCCACGGGAATCCTTCGCTGGAACTGAAAATCCGCGTGCGTGGCGGGAAACCCCGAGCACCCTGAATGCAGCAGCTCCGCAAATCCAGCGGGAAGCCACCGCGCAGCGCGTGAAGCGAAGAAACCCGAAGTACCCTGACACAAATACCCGGTTCCTCGATGCGCGTCCTCTCAGTAAGCCACAATGTGTGTGTGTGTGTGGCTAGCGCCATCGTGGGCACTGGCATGGGTGTATACGCCTGTTTGGTAAAAAGGTCATGAGGACCGTGTAGAATCCTGAGGCACAGGGAGGCCCAGAGCCAGGCATGGTGCATAGACGCATCATGCAGATCCTGCTCCTCCTCCTCCTTAAAAACCCTCGATCCGTGAAACAAAAGCTGCTTTTCTCAAATTCAGCGACCGCGAACCCTCCAATATACTGGGCCTCGAAGCCGAGACCTGCCAAGATGCCAGGCAGTGAACCAATCATGACGTCGCGGATCGGAAACCTCCTCTGTTGACTGGCCTTGGAACCGTTGCGCCATCACGTATCATGTCGACTCGGTCTGCCCAAGCGCCGTTGCTATCGCCGTCATCGGGTGTACCGGAAAAGGGGTGCCATGAAAAAAAAAGTTCATCGCAGAACTGCTCAAAGCACATGTGCGGACGAGGGTGGGCCAACAAAAACACGAGGGTGGATAAGGAAAACGTTGGAAAGTAAATGGGGGGCAAGACATCGGGGAGCGTTCGTGGCCCCAGCCACGATGTCCGTGCCCCGTAAGTCATCGCTAGGTGGAGGATGGTAAGCTCGCGCCAACGCCAACACAGGGGATTGCCTCCGCTGGGGGGAAGGCGCAGATGTTGGTACAGGTGGTATTATCTCGATCACATATGATGCCCGAATGTTACCACCATCGGCAAATTCACAACCATCCCCCTTCGGTGAAGGCACCCGCCGCGATTTGTGTTGGTGCCAACACATATTTGTTTGCATTGGTCTTGAGGTCTGACATTACAAAGACGCACAGATAGCGAATTCGCCGGCCCAGCGGGCCAGAGGCGTGCAAAGATCTCCGATAACTACTTACAATATTTCTAGTTCGCGCGCGCGGGGCGGCCCCTGGGGGGCCCGGACGAAAAGCACCCAGGCCGATCCCTGGCTGAGCCCCGGGCGATCCCCAGGGGGGAGGCTATTTTTCGCCACCCCTCACGAGGATCGTGGCCTCTGGGGGGGGGGGTGCCATCGACTACCCCCCCTCCCGCCCCAAGGGGCCCCCAAGAGCCCCCCAACAGGCCCCAGGGGAGCCCAATACGCCGCCAAGGTGCCCCATGACGCCCCCAAGAAGTCCCCAAGAAGCCCTCAACACGTTCCCAAGAGGCCCCAAATAGCGTTCCAGGGCCGGCGGAATGAACGAAGCGATTAAATAACGTTTGCACAAATATTCATAAACTACAACCATTGACGCAACTAGCCTCAAAAGTGGGTGACGTGCCACTTCTATCAACGACGCCTTTCGCTCACCCAGAAAATCTCGCCCGCTTCATTGTCGAGGAACGCGGTCTGGATAGGTGCGGCACGGAAGCTCTACAGTGCCAACAAGAGCCTCGCGCGCAATGTCACCCAAGCTCGAAACATTACGTCCGCAAGGGAACTGCCTGACACACGTTTAGTGTCAATCTTGTCGAGGGTGGCTCGTTTCGAAGATCCTCATTGCGAGATTTCTTCGCTTCGCTTCCCCCGCGTGTTGCCTGAGAGCCTTTGTACGATAATCGTGGTGGTTCCTGTGCCTCCCCAGCCCCTGGCGCTGGCTGCTACTCCCCGCCACCCTTGCCACCGTGGTTCGCCACGGCCGCCCACCGCGCTCTGGCCCTGCGCGCCTGGCTGCTGCTGCTGCCCGCCCGGCTGCTCATCGTCGAACTCTTCGGCGTCTGAGCGTCCATCCTTCCTCCCGGCCGTCCCCCTCCCTCCTTGCTCGCCTGCCGATTCGCTGGTCAGTGCCCCTACCTAGCTGCTCGCTGGAGCGGATATCGCCGCCTCGCCGCTGACGAAAAAGTTGCCTGAGACCCTCCACTCAATCGACCTTCTGTTAACGGACGAAGAACGGTATAAAACAAACTTTTTCGCTGTCGGGGGCGCCTGTCCCAGGGCGGCTGGAAAGTTTATACCCTTACGGTGGCACCGTAGGGGTATAAACTTTCGAGCCGCCCAGGGACAGGCGCCCCCGACAGCGAAAAAGTTTATGTTATACCGTTCTTCGCCCGCTGATTATGCTCAGGTCTACTCCGTGTGGCGCCTGGGCTCAAGGTGGCTGCCGGGCCTTTGCGGCCCTCGGCTTGGACGGCCCACCGCGGCCCAGAGTGCGGGCGCGGCCAGCGCGCGCGGGCGGATCTCCTCCAGCTGCCCGCGCTCGTCCAAAAAGTGAGGCCGCCGCCCGCACCCGGTTGGCGGCGCGCACAAGGGGTGGGGGGAGGGGGGAAGGCTTCTTAGAAGGAGCCTTACACCCACAGATAAGGCCCGCGCCTTCTAAGAAGCAGGGGTGCTTCTAAGAAGCTCTCCCCCTCCCCCCCAATCCCCTCTGCGCGCGGCTGACGCTGGTCGCCTGAGCGGAAGCGCAATCCGTCCACGCAACGCGCGAACCTCACGTGCTGCACTAACACCGGCAACAGATGGGACCGCTCTGCCCTTAAGGACGTCGCGGCCAAGGGAAGCATGGCACCTTTGACGACGAGTTCGCCCTGGACACGGGGCTGCCGGAAACGACCCACTCCGCGTCCAAGCGACTGAAGAACGAGCTGGGCAAGGTGTTCACTGTCCACGGCATGCAGTTCGGGGTCACCAGGCGCGCTCGCCTGAACGTCTGCGACCGCGTCCCCCTGGGCGGCACCGCGGTTGTGTGGAACGCGGGGGGCGGCTACTGAGGCAATCGGTTGCCGTCGCGTGCGCCCCGACCATGACGGAGCCGTTCCGTGCGGCCCTGGCGGAGCGCTGGGCCTACCGTAGCAGCAGTCACAGTGCCAGCGCCTGGCGAACTTCTGGCACCAAGCTGCACTACTGACTACCTACCAGACCACCCCAACCCAACCCGAAGACCCGAACTTCGGATTGGGGGGGGGGTAAGGGTTCCACATGTGTTTTTTTCTATGTTTCCCGACCCCCCCCACTGGACATCGAGGGTAAATTTGAGCTTTCGGGTTGGGTTGGGGTGGCTTGGTGGGTGGTGAACTACGTAGCCTCGGATGATATCCTGCGGGCGGCACCCATGTGGTCCATTAGGCGTGGCGGCCGCGCGTCGCTCCCGCGCACTCCCGCGTGCGGCGTGCGGGGGAACGAACACAGGGAGCTGCTGCCCAAGCGGCGGCTGCAGCCGTGCCGGAGACGTGGATGTGCAGATCCAGTGGCGGCCGCTCCTTCCTCTCGTTTGGACACCCGAAATGGGCACCGAAAGAATGGGTACAATGCCCAGCAACAAAGGTTGTCCCAAACCAACAGCGGCCGCTGTTGGGCAGGCGGCCTTCTGTCTCGAAGGGACACAGGCCGCGGCGGCGTGGACAGCGAATCCTGTTCAGAATGAACAGGAACTGCTGTGGGGCATCGTACCCATTCTTTCCGTGCCCATCTCGGGCGTCCAGATCTTGTATTCACAATGTGCCCTCATCTTCCCTGCCCCTCTTCATTCCATCCGTGAGTGGACTGTGACGTGCGGTTGGATCCACCAGCGCGATGTACAATTTGTTAGCATGGGCGTCAGCTTGGCTTACATTATTCAAACACAGCGGATCATGCCTTAGCGAGGCTTAACATAATTTGTCATTCTCACTCGCGCGCAGAAACACTTAGATCCGCTAGTCATACCTACCCGAACGCAGTCGTGTGCTACACCATGAGAACATGTAGCTACTGTAGATTAGATCATGCCTTACAAAAAATGACTTTTCGCATTGTGTAAGCAAGTCGGCTCCCGACATTTCCCCCGCGGATGCCCTCGATGCTGGGAGCAGCGCAACCCCGCCCACAGCCAGGACCCCCTGGGTCACCAGGTCGGGCGTGGGGGTCCTGGCTGGGGGCGGGGTCCCTGACCTTCAAGGAGGGCTAAAAAACAGCACACGACTTAAAAACCTATCCCAAAGCTATTCTACGTCTTGGTTTTAGGCTGTCTCGCTCGGCTTTTTTTAGGTTTTTAGGTATCCAGTGCTAAAAAATAGCTCTCTGGAAGGTCAGGGGTGGGGGGAGGAGGAGGAGGAGGAGGGAGGAGGAGGGAGGAGGAGGAGGAGGAGGGAGGAGGGAGGAGGAGGAGGAGGAGGAGGAGGAGGAGGAGGAGGAGGAGGAGGAGGAGGAGGAGGAGGGGGAAGAGCTTCTGCTGTCCTCAGATGCCAGGCGCCGTCCACGGCCAGGCCCACCGCGGGGGCCAGTCCGCACACCGCTCTGTCGCTCTGCCTCTCTCCCCCCCCTCCCGGCCGAGCGCAGCCGGACGTCGGGTTTGGACGCCCGAGTTATCCGGGGTAACTCGGGTCCGGGGTAACTCGGGTTTGGATTCCCGAAAAACGAACCCGAGTTAACCCTGACCCGAGTTACCCCTGATGATTCGGGGCTCTGGACGCCCGAGTTATCCGGGGTAACTCGGGTCCGGGGTAACTCGGGTTTGGATTCCCGAAAAACGAACCCGAGTTAACCCTGACCCGAGTTACCCCTGATGATTCGGGGCTCTGGACGCCCGAAATATCCGGGGTAACTCGGGTCCGGGATAACTCGGGTCTGGATTCCCGAAAAACGAACCCGAGTTAGCCCTGACCCGAGTTACCCCTGATGATTCGGGGCTCTGACGGGTGAGGGGCGCGCGGTCTCCTAAAATATGGCAGGGCAGCTCCCCCAAACGGGAACCCAGAAATGGCAGGGGCTCTGACACATTGCGGGCGGGGGGGGGGTCCTGGAGATGGCGGGGGGGCCCGGCGGATTTTGAAGAGGGCATCTCGGACGGCGGGGGGGGGGCTTCCCAGCAGCCTGCAGTTGGCTCCTTGGCAGGCTGGCCTCCCCTCCCGCCACCCCCGACTCTGCGCGCCGCCACCCTCGCCCGCGCCCGACTCTGCGAGGACCCCTGCATGGGGGCTCTCTGAGGACCGAGGACCTCCCGGGGGCGTCCCGGGGGCGTCCCAGGCTCCGCCCCCCCCCTCTCGGGTCGGGCGAAAGGGGGGAATAGCAAAGGGGGGGTTTGAGAATCAGCTCACGTAGCTGATTTTCCCGGCGCCTCCCGGCGCCGGGGGCGGCTATGTATCGAGGAATGGCCCCCCATCGGTGGGGCCGAAACCAGCTGCAGGCAGCAGATTTCGTAACCCCCCCTTTCCCAATCCCCCCCTTTCGTCCGACCCGACCCTCCCTCCCGTCTCCTCCTCGCCTCCCGAGACGTCACCCCGCGAACGTATCGCGAGGGGAGCGGACAACCAAGAGCTGGTGCCTGCAGGGCAGGGTCCAGAGGGCGGGGCCCACGCCACGAAGAAGTCATGAGGTCGGACGTGTCGATCCCCCCCCGTGCCCAACACCCCTCCTCTCCTCCGATACCCGACGACTCTCCCCCACCGCCGCCCGCGAGAGTGGCGCTGCACTCCCTCCCCGCGCCCCTTGCCCCCCCTCCTCCCTAGAGGGAGGCGGAGCGGGGGCGAAGAGAGGGGGATCTGGTACCCGGGATCGACCACCGCAGCTCGTGACGAGACCGCGACCGCACCGTGGCATCGTGGTGCTCGCAGAAGTGCCGAGGGCGAAGGGCGCCCGGCGGTGCAGTCGTGCACCGATCTGGCAATTGCGGCCAGGACAGCAGTGCACCCTAGCACCCTCCTGGCCTACTCCAGATTTCGTAATAAAGGGAGGGGGGTCTCATTTCGGGGGGGGGTCTCTTCCAGGCTATCTTGGAGGGCCTGGGGGGTCTGGGGACGATGTTTTGGAGGGTTCTCCCACGGGGGAGGCCTGAAATTGCTTGTCTTGGAGGGTCCAGACCCCTCCCTTTTATTACGAAATCTGGCCCAGCCAGGACGCCGAATGCACCGACAGCGGGCCGCATGGCGGGCCCGACACTGAAACGCGTCCGCGTACATGCGTTGCAGACGTGCGTTGCGCAATGCGCGCGGCCCCGGAGGTCCCGCCCCCTCCACCCGAGGGCAGCTCTTCGTACGGGATCCACTTCGATGGCCCCAGGGCTCGAGAACGAGCTCGCGAGGCCGAGTGGAGGCCAAGCGCCCCGACTGAACAAGAATGAGGTCGTCGGAGATCTGGGCATACCTCGTCGTCAGGGAAGCCTCCGGGCAGCCCGACCCCCGTCCAGTATCCGCAGCCGGTGGATCTCGGCCTCCTCCTCGCGCACCTTCCGCTCCTGCGACCGGAGCGCGCCGGGGGCGGCCACCGTGGGAGAGGGGCCAGGCCCGCGCCGAGCGGGCGCGCAGACCGGTCGGGAGCGAGGGTGGCGAGAGGCAGAGGCAGAGGGGAGGGCAACAGGGGGAGGGAAAAGGCGAGGCTGGGTGGGGAGGGCGGCGGAGGAGGGAGGGGAGGAGAGGAGAGGACAGCCAGGGAGGACAGACGTCGGCGCAGCGGCGGTTTGTGTGTGCGAAAGCGCTGCCCGCCAGCCCTTGGCGGCTCGCACAGGGGGCAATCATGGGGGAGGGGGGAAGGCTATTTGGAAAAAAGGCGGCTTCTTGGAAGGCGCCCTACAGCTGTAAACAAGGCCGGCGCCTTGCAAGCACGGTTGCTTCTAAGCCTTCCCCCCTTCCCCCTACCCCTCTCTGCGCGTGTCCGAAGCCCTCCATTCAGGGATCGGCCACCCGAGGACGCCCCTCCCCAATGGAACTGACGGACACTTGTGCCGCCCTTGGCCTCACCTGCTGGCTGGCGGGGGGGAGAAGGATCCCGAGGGAACCGCGCGCCGCACCCTGGGACAGGCGTTCTTCACCCCGAGTCTTCCTTTCACAGCTCCAGAGAACAGGAGGGGCCCTCAGGGGTCGAAAGCGGCGAACACCCACCCTCGGGACCCCTGTTCTTCCTCGCTGCCGGGGCCGACCTGCCTCCCAGCTCGGCCGGCCCCGCAAGCTGCGCGTCGCTGCCGCTGCCTTGCGGCGGTCTCTGCCGGCGCCAATGCGCCCGCGCGCCATCGATTGCTGCCAGACGGCCGTCGAGCCCTGCTTTGCACGACCAGGGTGGGGACGGAAAATATGAGTACAATGTCAACAGAACCTGCCCGAAAAGGCACCCAAATAACCCACGTTCGAACTTACACGCCGTCTCAGCAGCGATACCTCGAGACGCGACTAACCCAGCGTTGCAGCGCGACCCACGAAGAGAAAGGAAGCCGTGCCGCCAGTTTGCCAGGTGGTCAACTCGAGCCACTCAAGCCTTGAGACTGTTGAGGCTTTGGACCCCGATATGCGAAGCCCGCCTGTCGGGCTCGCACGACCAAACGCCCCCGCACGCGTGGCTGACCCTTGGAGCTCGCAGTCTTCGCGGACGTTGGGCACATGCTTCATGGCTGACGACCTGAGGAACTTGTTGCAACAGGGCGCCGTTGCGTACAACCTCGTCGTTTTTTCTCTCGCAATTCGTGTGGATGCTTTCGCCGCGCGCTGTGCGCAGATTTTAAGCCATCCACCAAGCATTGCTACAGGCCCGCTCGACCGCTCGAAGCGCGGAGGAGGAGGGGGAGGAGGGGGAGGAGGGGGAGGAGTAGGAGTAGGAGTAGGAGTAGGAGTAGGAGTAGGAGGAGGAGGGGAGGAGGAGGAGGAGGAGGAGGAGGAGGAGGAGGAGGAGGAGGTCACTTTGAGAGACGAAGCGCGCGCGACCGCTCACCAAGACCTCCGCGCACGCGCGGCACCGCTGCACCGCCGAACTTGTCATGACCCAGACTACAGATGTGTGTCTTACGCCGTGCGCGGTCCCCCGAGCCCTCGGCCACTTCCAGACAAATGCCAATTGTCGTCAACGATGATCTGTCTCTTGACGGTCCCAGAACCTAGCCACAAAAGCCCCGGAGGCAGAACAACCCAAACGGAAAACCCTGCATGGGGACTCTTTCGAGGCGTTGAATGAATGCCCACCGTGCCGATGGCAAGGATGGCGGAAGGGAAGAGGACGGAGGAGCAAGAACGGAGGAGGAGGGAGGAGAGAAGGGGGGGAGGCGAGGGGAAGGAGGAGCAGAGGGAGGAGGAGGACAAACGCCGGCAGAAAGGGGAGCGAGACAGCTCAACGCCACGTCGAATGGCTCCGTTCTTCCGAAGCCCAGGGAGGGTTGAGGGGATGGAGGAGGCAGAGGGGCAGGAAACAGGGGGAGAAGGCGAGGGCAGGGCAGAGAAGGATGGTCAACAGAAAACGAAACACGTGGCTGCGTCGTGCGCGGCACATGACAGGCAACACCCATAAGCTGGAGCCACAGCGGGAGCGGCAAGCTCGACGATATGAAAGTCAGATCGAATCGACATGTGCGTCGGATCGTGCTGCACGGAATCGAAATCGCATCTAGTTGGCCGCGCCGAATTTCACAACTCCAAAGTGATAACCGGACAACGTTAAATCGCCGAAATATCCGAATCGAATTGGAGCGCAGCGTCCATAATCGATGTATATAAAGATATGTTTCGGGTCGCTGGGATCGAAATGACCTTCAAATGTATTCAGTGATCAAGGTCGGGAAACCAGCTACGCTACCACTGCTTCGCATCGGCTCCGCGATGCCACTGTGACGTATCCACCCAGCCATCACCCACGGGGCAAGACGCTACAATCAAGAACCGCCAGTACAACGAACACATGGGAACACGCCTGAACAATGCGGCACTTGTAGTCTGCATCTGAATCGGCAAGGAACGCCTCACAACACACCACCACACACTCAAACACAATACGGATACACGGAGCGTGCTAGGAGCATGGAAGATCCTCCTCTCTTTTGGCCTTCTCCTCCTCGGCCTGCTTCTGCAGTTCCTGCGGTTCGGATCGGCAGTGCGTCTCTTCACGACACCGGGAGGGTCGATCACATGCAGACCACACAAGATTGAGAACGAGATCGCCACGCCTGCCCGCCATGTCTCACGTGCCCTGAAGGTCATGGGTCTGCCCCTCCTCTCGCGTTCACCCTCTGCTCTGGGGCCACCTCGACTTTGCATCTTCTGGCGGTTGGCACTGCCCCGTGCGGTTCGGAACGACGAATCCCACCAGCCGTCTGGGCTTAGGTGGTACAACGAACTTCTGTCTCCTCTCTGCTACCGCCCCCCCTCTCCTGCTCGGGGGAGGGGTTTCCCCCTCCCCCTTACCCCCTCCCCTGGGCCTGGAGGGGGGGGGATGTGGCCAAGGGTGCGCGTTGGTCCAAGATGGCTCCAAGAGGGCCTCTGTCCAAGATGGCTCCCAGGAGGGCCTCTGCGAGTCCAAGATGGTCTCCTAGAGGGGTCAGGATGCCTCCGGATTTTTTTTTTAATAGCCTCCGACGCGCTGGTGCCCGCTGAGCTCTCCGAGGACCCGCCCCCGCAAAGGCCAAAACGGCCCCGAAACCTAAGGAAAATACAAGTCTTGTTGTCTTCTTGCTTTTTCGCTTCGGATCGGCTTTCAGGCCTCAAGATGAATGCAAAATTGCCAAAGAGAGGCCCAGGAGGGGCCCGAGAGGACCCCAAGAGCGCCCAAGAGCGGCCCAAGAGAGTCCCAAGACGCAATTTTTGAGTCTCCGAGGGGGGCACCCGAATTGAGAAACCCACCTCTTTTTGAGCCATGGGGCCGAAGAGGCCTCCCAGACCCCTCCAATGAGCAACAAAAATGCCCCAAACCCCCCAAAAAGGTTAACAGTGCAGTGCAAAGGCGGTCAGCGGAACCTGTGGCGATGACGACGGCGCGGGAGTGCGGGCCTGTTCGCTAACTGTGGGTTCGGAGGGCACTGCGGCGCACATGCTGCAGGCGAGCATCGGCCCGAATGTCCCCGCACAGGCCGCGAAGCCCCAGCTCGACGCCCTCTGCGTGAGCGCGATGGTGGAAAAGCAAAAGCGCTTGCGACGCAGGCATCGTTGGACAGCATGCCCGACAGCCCCATCTGACAAGGCAGCGGCTGTCAGCTCGAAAACTTATTTGAGCTTCTGAAGCTGTCCACTGAGAGGTCACCTAGGGGCAGCGGACCCCCCAAGGTGGCATGCGCTGGGGATGCCTACGCACTACAGGGCTTTCATCGGTCACCGGTGGCCCGAGACGTTCTGCACCTCCGCGCACGGAGAACATGGATGGTGCGGGCGCTGCCGCTCTCCACGGAGGGACGGGTGCGGGCAGGCGCCGCTGGCGAGCTTCCTGGGACATGCGGTGGCGCTCCCGAGGGTACGCAAACATTGTCTGTCGACCAAGAGGGGGGATCTACACGCCGAACACACACACACAGACACACACGCACACACACTCATACAGACCCTAATCCTCACACCCCTTCTCCGACGACCCAATGACCAGGACGCCGCACGGTTTCGTCAACAGCTCCGGGCCAATTAATGTTCGAGGGTCTTGCGGAGCTCTTCTCTCTTCCTCCTCCCCACCTTCCCTTCCTAGCCCTGGCCTCCTCCCCCCGAGCCGTACGTATCCTCATTCGACAACTCCTCCTACTCCTCCTCCTCCTCCTCCACCTCCTCCGCCTCCCCCTCCTCAGGCTCTTTATTATCCTCCTTCCCTCTCCTACTCTGGCTGCTGCTTCTTGTCCTCCCTTTCATCATTCTAACAATGCCTATTCTCTTCATATTCCACATCTTCCGCCCTCCTAGATCGCCCCCGTCACAAATCTCTGGTGAAAGCACCAGTCTGGAATCGACACGCTACAGGGAGAGGCAGATCGAGGGGGCCGACACGCGCGCTGAGCGTGGACAGCGATTCCAACGCACAGGGGTGAAAGGAGAACATACATCTCCCTATCCCCCCGAGGCCCCCTCCCCCGCCTTCACTGTCCCTGGCCCCCTTGGCAGCCCCGGGTGAGCGGTCGCAGCCCCGCCCTCCCCCCCCCCCACATCCGCATCGGCCCAGACCGCTCCCACCTTCAGGGGTCCTGAGTTGTGCCCGTTCGGCATTTCGGTGTTTCACGATGTCGAGGAGACTTCCCTAAAGGGCGCTTCGCGCACTATCACCCACTGATAATCCTTCCTCCTCCTCCTCCTCCTCCTCCTCCTCCTCAGCTTCCGTCCCCTCGCGTCGTCAAAGTTCGGAGTCCCTCTCTGTCGCTGCTATCCCGGTTTCCCTGGCCGCACCCCATCCCTCGCACAGTCGGTGGGGAGGGCGGGGGAACGAAGGGTTAATGAGAGCGCGGCTTAGAGGGAGGGGGCAAGCTCGAAATGAAATTGCCGTTTTTGGCGACCAGAGACTCAGAGACAACCGCCGCATATAATCAAGACTAAAGATGACAAGCTAAACATTATATACTAACAAGAAATAATAGCACACCAACCTAAACAGAACATCATCTGCCGCACGCGTTCAATCCCCTGATCCTGGCAAGTGTACAGGCTCAACCGTTTGTGTCGCATCCGATGCCTAGGTTTCCACAGCTAAATTGTAACAGAGATGACGTTGGCGACGACGCTGACGGATGGTCGATAGTTGGCCTGAACAGAACGTGCTCCCTACACACTGGCGACACGCCGTGCCAAGGCTTCATAATCCCTTCGACCAAAGATCAACACCACCCCCTCTCATCCCGCACCTTCTGTGCCCGTCCCTCCTCAAACGAGCCTGCCCCTTCCGCGTGACTCGTGGCGAATTCGTCGCGAAGTGACGGGGGCGAGGGAGACCGAGCACGGTCAGCCGGCCTGCTGCCAGGCGCTTCTCCTCCTCTCCTTCTGGGCCGCGTCCTCCTCCTGCTTTCGCTTGATGTCGTCCTGGCGGGGGCGATGGGGGAGTGGACGCGGGCGGACCAGGAGCAGGAACGGGGAGGGGAACGGGGAGGATGAGGCCGAGAGGCAGCAGGAGGGGGCGGGGGAACGACCAGCAGACGCCTTGGGAAAAGTGGGAGGGGCCACAGCCACTGGGCCTGTCTCGCCACCGACTTGCGCTTGGCAGTCGTCGGGGCGCACCGCCAAGCCGCACAGGGGAGCTCGGAGCGCAGCAGGGTCCACTGGAAAAGGTCCAGCGGTCGACTCGAGCGGCAGGCGAGCGCAACACGGACCCCATGCAGAAACAACAGAGGCCTGGCAAACGGATGGCAGACTCATGGTGCCTCAGGGCCACCAGAACACCGATACGGTATCTGGGAGGACCCAGGATCTCTGCCCAGTGGCTGGCCTTCTGTGTATACACACACGGCTGCCCGAATACCGTCTTCCCGCGCCCGAATCCACACATTCATGTTGTGGAACTGCTGCCGAAATTCGGCGGGACAAGAACGGGAAGCGCCGCTTTTTATCCACTCGGCGCGCATGAGGAGGACGGGAGAGGGGGACGACAGGGAGGCGGATGGGGAGGAGGACAGCGTGGACGCCGAGGGGAAATGGAGGAGGTTCGGGAAGACAGGCGCGAGAACGAGGATGAAGACGCGGACCAGGGAGAGGGACAGGAAAAGAGGACGAAGACGAGATCGACGAGGAGGCGCAGGAGGAGGGCAGCGCAGAACACGAGGGGGGACGGCGTGGAGAAGGAAAGGGAAGAGCGGCGAGCGTGGGAGGAGGACGGCGCCGTCAAAAGAAGGAGGCCGACGGCGAGGAGGACGAGCAGGCAAAGGCAGGAGAGGACAAGGACGACGGGGAGGACGACGAGTCCACACTCCGTAATTAAAAAGGAGGGAATCACAAGCCTCCCGGACGAGCAGTGTTGGACCGTTGGACCCCCCAGACCAGCTATGACATGGCGGCCTTCTGCCCATGCCACCCTGGAGCCCTCCAAGACAGCTTAGACCAGACACCAGACCCACCTCCAAAGAAGACCACCTGCGCTTTACTGCGAGACGCAGAGCCGGAGAAAGACAACACGAATGACAGCATGGAAACCATGGAGGACGAGGACAACGAGGGTAAGAGGGCCGCGAAACAAAATCATCATGACGTGGAAAAGATGGGTTGTGATCGGCCAGCGGTTCGGAAGGTGGGCGGGGAAAATGAAGACAGATGAGAAGGATGAGGAGGAGGAGGAGGAGGAGGAGGAGGAGGAGGAGGAGGAGGAGGAGGAGATAGAGCAAAGAAAGGTCCAGGAAGGGAATAATGGGCCGTGAGCCCTCTTGCCGGAAGGAGATGGGAGGCGAGGAGGGCAGGAGGAGGGAGGGAGGAGTGAGAAAGGGGAGGGAGGAGGGCGAGGAGGAGGGAGGGAGGAGAGGGAGGAGGAAGAGGAGGATGAGGAGGAGGACGACGACGAGACCGATGAGGGCGTGGCGCAGGGGGAGGGCAAGGAGGAAGAGGGAGGGAGGAGGGCGAGGAAAAGTGCGAGGAGGAGGAGGAGGGAGGGATGACAGGGAAAAGGATAAGGAAAAGGAAAGGAAACAGAGGAAAGGGCTGATATGTGTAAAAAGGTGTGGGAATGTGGAGGTACGTTTGGACCCCTCCATACGGCCATCTTCGGTGGCCGAGGGGCCGTAGGGAGGTCCTCGGCCCCCTCCGCTAGTTGGCGCCATAAGGTAAGACTGCCGAGGGGGTGGGGCCCATGATGGTCCCCGCCGGAGTGGCTGAGGCCTCTGATGGTCCTCGCCGAGGAAAGGGAAAGAAAGGTCACCAAACACGGCGTTGTAGTACAGCATGAGTCCTGAGGCGTAGAATCCTGACAGGGGAACCTGGAACTGGGGGCCGCAAAACGGGGGGGGCAAAGGAGATGGGTGCACAACCTGGGCGGACAAATCGTGCCCCCCCGCCGATCACAGACAAAGCCAAGGGGCACGGCCTCGATAGCGGATTGGCCGGCACGCCCGTTTCAGCACCGAGTCCGTGACACGGACGACGTGGGAGAGGAGGAGGAGGAAGCGCGGAAGGCAGACACCGACCATTTTCGCATCAAAATGGTCGGTTTTTCGCGGGAGGGAGGTGGGCGAGGAGGAGGAGAAGCGAGGGAGCCACGAGGGAGGACGCGCGGGGGGCAGGGGGGGCGCGCCCTGGCAAGGTCGTAGTTCGAAGCCACCGACTTCTCGCCGGTCACCACGAGTTGGTCGTACCTAGCACTGCTCGCCACTGGCCGTCGTCGAGGTCGTCGTCGCCGTCGGGATCGCCAGCGACGGTATCGACCACCGACGTCGAGGACCATAGTCAAACGTCTTTGGCAGGATCAGCCAGTCAGTGACGCATCGCGGATGGGAAAGAATCTCGAATCGGTCTACATCGGTTCGGAATCGAACTCGAGTAAAATCAGCTGCGCCCGGATACGCAACCACGCTGTACAAGAATCGAGCAGCATCGGATCGCTGGGAAATCGAAATCGAATTGGATCGGGTGATCTCTGAATCAAATCGGACCGATCGATCCTAAGTGGGCCATGCCGTTGTGGGCCCCAGCCCAAAACGCTCGAGCAAGGTTAGGATGTCCCCAGCTTCCGCAGCGTTCGCCTCACGACATGCAAGCGTGCCCCTGAGACGTGGTATGAACACATTGCGACTTGGTCATATGGATGCGTGGCAAGAATGCACGCCTCTTGGCACTTAATTTCAACCCCATGCTGGTAGCCCATGGCCCACGGCGAAGTGCTGGGATGGGCCCAGAGACAAGAATGCGAGGATGCCCCTGGAAAGCTTCTTGACGTTCTGATGCGGTTTGAACGCAGTGCGACCTGTGAAGAAGAGCACGGTGCAGAGTGACTTAGGACCAATTTGTGCTCCCACAACGAAAGTCGGGAGCGGCCCAGAGGGGGGTGTCCAAGAGGGGGGTGTGCAAATCATGACCGGCGGCATGTGCGCGGCCCAGCGGGGGGGCCAGGGACGTACTCAACCAAGAAGAGGCGCCCTAAGATCTGGGCAAATATCGTGGCCCCCGCCATGATATCCACCCCCCCCTAGTCATCACCCCCCTCTTTTCTGCCCCCGAGAAGGACTGAATCAACATAAATGTTCGACGGTCCGTGCGGCTTTCCTGGTCTGCACTGGACCCCCCTCCCCTCCCTGGCGCGCGGAGAGCCGGGGGGGTGGCCGCCAAGGGGGTCCAGGCGCCGCCCCGAGACGTCCGCGCGGCCCGCCGAGCACTTCTGCTTCTGCCGCCTCTTCGGCAGAGAGCCCGCCCCGATGCGCCCGCAGACTGCGTTCCTCGGACCCCTCCCGAGGGGCACCACGGAGGCGTGGCGGTGCCGTCCTCTGCGTCCCGCGCGTCCTGCTGCGGGCCCCGTGCCGCTGCACAGAGAGAGGCGGGGCGGCCGAAGGCGCCCCCGGGGGTGTGGCGACGGGGGTCGGCGTTCCAATACCGAGAAGCCAAAAAGGGGGGCGCGTTGCTCCAGCTTCTGGGGGCAGGCCAGGACCCGGGAAGCATCAAGCATGGACGCGGGGCGGGGTGCAGTCTCTGGCGGGGGGGTCGGGGCATCAGGGGCCCGCGGATTCAAAACTAATCGCGTCGTCGGATACCGCGGCAGAAGCCTCGCCACAAACGGGCCTTCTCAGAGGCTGCCGGAAGCTCGCAGTCAACACCCTGTTGTCTTAGAGTGCCGCTCCCTCGCGCCACCCCCGCCTGTGCGCAGCGGACCCCGGGGGAAAGAGAAAAAACAATGCGAACACCATGATGCTCAACCAAATCAATGCTAGCCAGCGTGTACCCCGAGCGGTAGGACAGTGGACACTCGATGCGCAGTCTAGATGGCTGACAATGCTCAGGGTGCAACATACACTGTATATCTGTGCCCTACCACGAGATGCAATCGCTGCCGTTTTGTTTCCAAAGCGCGGCACGCCCATGTCTCGAAACCTTCCTGGGGATCGGTGATTCGTCCAAGATCGCTCCTCCACGGTCCTGGAGCCGGAAATAACAACATTAAGGGGCCGTTTGGGGGCCTTCTTGGAGGCATCAAGGGCCGTCTTTGGACGATCTTGGGGGCCATTTGGGCCGTCGGGTTTGCTGTCAACGCGTGAAGTACGAATGTTCTGAACATGTACGTTTTATGACTATGGCCTCTTGGGGCCCTCTCGGCGATCCTCTCGAGGCGCTTTTGGGTTGTGTTCGGGGCCTTGTGTGGTGTTCTTTGGAGGCTCCAAAGTCCCTGGGGATGCGTTGGCGAGCTCGCACCCCTCCCCCCCGAGAATTACATTTTGCACCCAAAAAGAGGGGGAGAGTGGGAGGGGGACAGCCAAATGTCCCACACTCCTTTCCACCCCCTGCAAGCAGAGGTAGGCGGATTTGTTCCACGCCGATGAAGTGTCGACGTCGCCTGCGTTACAACGCTACGTACATCGGTTATGCATCGGCGATGAGGCGCGGTCATCGCACTCAATCTACCTGTTTAGAACCCATTTGGCGGCCTCCAAAGAGGGGCAACTGCCCAGACCTCCAAACAGCCCCAGAGGGCCCCCAAGACAGCCCCGCTCCATGAAAGCCCAAAACGGGGAATACGAACTGACATTTCGAGCCTTCCTACCAAGATGATCCCTCCAGCTCCCCAGAGACCCAAAAGACCCCTCCAAGAGGCCCCAAGAAGCCTCCAGCACGCCTCCGAGAAGCCCCCCCGAGGCCGCAAACAACCTCCCGGATACCCCCAAGAGTTCTACAAGAGGCCCAAGAGAGGCATCCCAAGAGACCCTCATATTCATCTAGGATACTCCTGACCAACAACCCAGGCACGGTGGCGGGGTGGGCAGAGGCCACTCCATAACTTCCACGATCGTCGCAAGCATGTACTCCTTCTGGTGGCCAAGTTGTTTTCATGACCACTGACCAACAAAATCAACCCAACATGCTGCCACAAAACACCCAAACACCCCCACGAGTCTACCACACTCGCCCGAAAGTTCTCACGAGCCTCCACTTGAGGCCACAAAGAAACCTTCCAAAGACCCCGTGACATTCCCCAGCGTCCCCCCCGCAACCGTCAAAGAGACCCTCAAGCAGCCCCGGGACAAACCTAATCCCACCAGCCCTCTGGGCGTCGGTGATTTCGAGCGGTTCCTCTTCCACCCCTCCTTCTTCCCCTTCGGGGAGGGGTTTATCATTGTTCCCTATTAGTATACACCCCCTCCCCCAAGTGACTGGGAGCCAACCAGGGTCAATGCGGGCATCCCCCACCATCCCTTGTACAAAAACAATAAAAAAACACACACTCTGCCTCCAAATTCGGAGCATGCGCAGCGAACCCGATGCGGCCTCCCCCCACCATCCCTGTCAAATAGCAATACAGACTACACATGGCGGCGGCGGCGGCGGCTGCGGCGGGGGCAGCGGCTGTGGCGGCTGCGGCGGTGGCGGCGGCGGTGGCGGCGGCGGTGGCGGCGGCGGCGGCAGCGGTGGCGGCAGCGGCTGCCGCGGCAGCGGCTGCGGCGATTCGACAGCGGGGGCGGCGGCGGCGGCGGCGGGCGGCGCGGCGGCGGCGGCGGCGGACCGCGGCGGCAGCGGCGGCGGCGGCGCGGCGGCGGCGGCGGGCGGCGGCGGCGGCGGAGGCGGGGGCGGCGGCGGATTCGCCCTCAGAAGCTGCCCATCCAAAGTCGACTGCTGAATATGCTGCGGCTCGGGCCAGACTCGGGTGCTACGTATGTGTTGGGAGGGCGGGTGGGAGTGAGCGAGACGGCTTGCGGGCGGAGAGGGAGTCTTGACCCCTCCCCCTACCCCCTCCCCTGGACCTGGACGGGGGGGTCGCGAGGTGTCAGGGCGTCCAAAACGGCCTCGGCGAGGAAGCCCAAATTAGTGGTTTTACTATGGTTTTGGCCCCATGTTGGCCTCCTGGGGGGGTGCCATAATTGAGGCTCCCCTCTTGTTTGATCTATCTCCTCCAAGCTGGCCCCGAGAAGCGCCCAAGAGGCCCAAAGAGGACCCAAAATGGCCCCAAGAGGCGCCCCCAAAAGGATCCGAAGCGGCCCCAAGAGGCCCCCTCGAGGCACACAAGACGCCGAATAGCCCCCCACGACCACCAAGAGACCCCCAAGATGTCCCAAGAGGCCACCTAGAATCGCCCAAGAGATACCCCAAGAGGCTCCGAGAGGCATCCAAGAGACCACTGGCCCTTGTGCTTGCCCTCCTCCTCCTCCTCCTCCTCCTGTTCCTCCTTCCTCCTCCTACTCATTCTCTTCCTCCTCCTCCTCCTCCTCCTCCGCCTCCTCCTCATCCTATTCATCCTCCTTCTTCCCACTCCCTCATCCATCTATCCATCCACCTCCTCCTTCTCCTCCTCAGTCCGTTGCACGGTTCGGCCGTCCCCCTCTTTGCTGCCGCACTTCCCTGATCACCTCAACTCGCCTGGACATCGTTTCTGGATGGGCTGAATTCTGTCTACCTGATCCTCCTAAGAAGATTCGACCAGGGTCCACAATCGTCTCCAACACTCACTCCTTGTGGGGGTCGGCAGAACGGCGCAAGCCGCTTGAACCTGGCTCCGCATTGAGCAGCATCGCCGATGCATCGGCGATGCGGCGCGATCGACCGACCCCAATGCCCGCTCCCGCCCCGCACGGGCGGCCCTGATCTCTGTGGGCCTCCTGCACCCCCTCCCCTCCGCGCCGACCCCAACCCCCTCCGATCCCGCCCGCCCTCCGCGCCCACCCCGCCTGCGCCGAGAGGCCAAGGGGCAAAGGCGGGCTCCTTCGGCGGTGCCTTCGGCGGTGCCTTCGGCGGCGCCGCGATGTCTCCGCCGGCCCCCAGCGGCCGCAGCGGCCCCGTGCCTGGGTCCCTCCCCGAAGATCCGCAGTGGGGGGGAGACGGGAACAAACGAGCGCTCTCGCTGTCGCGGCTGGATGGCCCTCGCAATTCGGGTCGAAGCGCACCGCCAGAGATGTCTGAGGGCCGATTGTTGAGAAGGAGCCTTGCATGAAGAATCAGCAAACATCTCACCGAACTTGCTTCGACATTTTCGGCGTCAAGGGGGCCGCTTCTGGGCCCCAAGACCCTGAGGCGAAAACTCAGGACGAACAACCAGGCCCCTGGAAATGGTGTCGAACGGTCATGGAGGAAATGGGTCCGGAGGAAATGAAGGGGCCCTGGGACACACAAATAAGTAGACACACATAACAGGATTCCCCATATTCTGCCATATGTTCTGGGTGTTCGTCTTCCCCCCACTTCCCGTATTCTCCCACACTTTCCTGGGAGTCGACGACCAACTGTGTCTGTGTGTTTCTCTCCCTCCCGAGGAACACGGGTCCTGGACCTCGGGGCCTCCCCTCAAGACCGAGCTCTCCATCCCGACTCGCTTTTCTGGCAGCCCCAGGGCCCGTGGACCGAAGATGGCGACCAAGAGCTCAGGACCCGTTCCCCTCGGGACCCGGGGGTGCCACTCCACGCTGAAGTGGGACCCTGGGGGGAGCCTTTGGGGGAGGCTTGGGGGGTGCTTTGGGCGGGCTTGGGGGGAGCGTTGGGGGGTGCTCTGGGGGGGAGGCCCTGGAGGGGGAGCCTGGGGGGGAAGCTGGGGGGGTCCCAAGGGGGGGGGCCCGGGACGGTGCCACTGGGTTCATGGTAGGAATGGTGGCGCGGCACCCCCGGCTCGAGACCCGTGCCCCACAGTGGCGAGGAGTGTCGGGTCGGGCGAAAGGGGGGATAGCAAAGGGGGGGTTTGAGAATCATCTCACGGAGCTCATTTCCCCGGCGCCTCCCGGCGCCGGAGGCGGCTATGTATCGAGGAATGGGCCCCTCGGTGAGGCCGAAACCAGCTGCATGCAGCAAATTTCGTAACCGCCCCTTTCCCAATCCCCCCCTTTCGCCCGGCCCGAGTTTAGCCCAGGTCTGTTGGACACGCACATTTCGAGGAAAGAGAACTATGCACATACACCGATTCTGGCCAGGCCCGTCCTGAGCCCAGGATCGGTGCATACGCCCTCCTGCCTTGGCCAGGAAGGCATATGCACCGATCCTGGGTCAAGGATGGGCCTTGCCAGGATCGGTGCATGTGCATAGTTCTCTTCGCCCGAACATTGGACGCTGCAGGTGCGCGTCCAACGACGTCGCGGTGCCTGCGCGCGCGAAACGCGCGAGGCAGCGCGACGTCGTTGGGCCCCGCAAGCTGCGCCCAAGGTCCGCAGCCAACCCGCCTTGACCAAGGTCAGAAGAACCAGGGCGACGAGCTCTATACATATACACTGCTCCTGGCCAGGTCCATCCTGGGCCCAGGAGCGGTGTATACGCCCTCCTGGCTTGGCTAGGGAGGCATATACACCGCTCGCCCAGGATGGACCTGGCCAGGAGCAGTGGATATGTATAGAGCTCGTCGCCCTAAAGAACGCGCCCACTCCTTCGCACCACGACCCACTGGCTGGCGAGGCGAAGGCGGGGGAGCGCATCGACCCACTGGCCGGTGCCGACCCCTCGGAGCGATAGCGCGGACCCACCCGGCGCCCGCTCAGTGGAAGGACTTGAGCTTGTCGGTCTCCACGGGCGCCTCGTCCTCGTGGAGGTGCGCCAGCGGGTTCTCGGCGCGGTAGTGGTGCGCGTCGTTGTAGGCGTCGATGGCCTGCGTCTCGAGTCGAGCGATGGTGTCGAACTCCTTTTTGGACGCCCGAAATGGGTACCGAAAGAATGGGTACAATGACCATCAGCAAATGTTGTCCCGAACCAACAGCGGCCGCTGTTGGGCGGGCGGCTTCCTGTCTCAAATGGACACAGTCCGCGGCGGCGCGGACAGCGACTCCTGTTCAAAATGAACAGGAACTGCTGTTGGGCATCGTACCCATTCTTTCCGTACCCATTTCGGGCGTCCAGATCCTTGATTGTCGCCGCCCGAAGGCGTGTCAACGCCCGGAACACGGCACGCTTGATCTCCGCGACCTCCGCGTTCTCGACGGCGTCGACGAGGGTGTCCTGCGTCTTTGCGGCGTGGTCCTGGAGCTCCTTGGCGGTGTCCTCCTTGCCGAAGGGGGCGATCTTGTTGAAATTCATCTCCAGGTCGTGCGTCATCTCCTGGGCAAGGTCATCCTCCGGGGCCTTGCTCGTCAGCAGCGATGCGTCGCACGCGACACGAATGGCGGTAATCGCTACGATAAGGCGGAGAGCAACCATACTGATCACTGACGGCTTGGCTACTTTGCATGTTCGTGGTGCCTTGTCTGTTTCATCGCGTCGCTTATCGTGCCAAATACAGGTCAAACGTCGAATGCGCAAAGAATCCAAATCGAATCCGCGTCGAAGAAACGTTGAGTCGGCTTCATATACAGACAGGATCTGATCACGCTTTACGACGTCCCCCGAACATGCAACGTAAAGCTTGGACCACCAAGGGGGGGATGTCGAGCCTTGGCCCAGAACGGCTACGAAGAAAGGAAGGGAAGGACAGGGGGAAGAGGAAGGAGAAATGGAAGAGGGAGACATCGGGGACGGGGGTTGACGGAGGCCATCCGTATCCTCCTCGCCCTCCACCTAACGTTTCTCTTCCCCCGCTACCCTGTTTCGACCACTCTCTAGCCGCCTCCTCCTCCGCCAAAACATCTAGAGGGATGGGGGCCGGGGGGCGATGCCACCCTCTACGAATTTTCCAGAGGGGCCCTAGAGAACAGCATGCTCCTCCAGCTGTTTACAAAACATGCAGACGTCCCTCGCTACCCTCGCCCGAGGTACCGAGGGGAGACTATGCGCAGAACCTCCTCCCCGAACTGCCCACCTGGCAACCGCAAATCAGTTACTCAGAACCTCGGGCGAGGGCGAGGGCAGCGATGGACTCGAGTACTCCTCCCAGAACCTCCTCCCCGATTGCCCTGGTACCCGATCTCCCGATCTCCTCTGTACTGAGTGCGAGGAGTCCCAGGTTGCCCTCGCCCGAGGGGAGGGCACCCTGGGAGGGCCGAGGTACTGAAGTACTGTGGATCGATCGACGTCGAGCAGGCAAACCGCACCGAACCGAACCGTGCCTCGGATCGGCCTGCAGCTGCACGGCATCGACACCGTGCATCCGCTCTGCTGCGCCAGGGAGGCAGGCCACCTCAGACCTCGTGCCCAGCGCTGCGGCCCGTGTCGACCGAGGCCCGGCGCCGCCCCCGCTCGACAGGGGCGAGGCCCCCCCCCCGCCCCCGGCGGGACACTGACTACCTACCAGACCACCCCAACCCAACCCGAAGACCCGGATTTCGGGTTCGGGGGGGGTACGGGTTCCATATGTGTTTTCTCAGTGCTCCACGACCCCCCCCCACACTGGAAATCGAGGATAAACTGGAGCCTTCGGGTTGGGTTGGGGTGGTTCGGTGGGTGGTAAGCTACCTCGTCCTCCCGCCACGCGCTTGCCAGCCAGAGCTGCGCGTCGCGTGCGGCCTCGATGGGAGCGGAAGCACGTCCGGCTGCCTGCCGACAGCTGGCGGGGCTCAAAGTCTGGCCCCCCGAGCTCTCCGGGGGACCATCCTGTCCGGAGTTCATTCCGTGTGAATTATTTTGGGGCGCCCGGAATGGGTACGGACAACAATGGGTACGACGCCCAACAGCAAATATTAGCAAACACGACAGAGCCAAGACTTGGGCAGGCGGCCTTCGGTCTAAAATGGACAACGTCCGCGGCGACACCGACAGTAAGTGCTGTTCAAGAGAAAGATCTGTTGCCTGTTCTCGTACCCATCCTTTCCGTACTCATTTCGATCGTATCAGATTTTGAACGTCTCTGGGGTCCGAAACGGGGCCCAAAATGGAAGAACCACCCCCGCCACGATTGCTTTTCGAACTCCCTCCTCGCCACACCCCCTCTCTGCGGCCCCTGGAGGTCCCTGGAGATCTGGGCGGTCTCAGGCAGGGGTGCCTACCGGAGGCCTCGAGGGCAGCCAACAAGGGAGGCGTGGGGAGGAGCGGAGGACCCTCTCGGGATGCCTCCTCGATCTTCGAACCTCGAGTCTCGACAAGGCCTCCTCCGACTCCGCCCGTTACCATGCGCAGTGCTGTATTCCAGAGAGTCCAGAAGCGCGGCGAAGATGTTCGGCGCACAGGCGCTCTGGCACTTCACAGCTTGGGAGCTTGGCGTGTGCACACCGAGCTCCTCAGCCAACGATACATGCAGGCATGGCGATCCCAACCCTCGACTTTGTGGGGCATTCGACCGGGCAATTCTTTGATACCAGTCTTGAGGATTCATCATGAGGGGCGGCCAACCTCACCAGGGGTGTCTTCGAACAGGCCTCCGGGAGCGTATGCCATCCTTGCTAAAGGTGCGCCCGAATAGGCCCCTGGGTGTGTCCGACTGACACATGGTTGGGGGAGAAACCTCGGAGATTGGGAGCGAGAAAGTCTCCAACAGCGACATGCAAGCATCGATGAGCATCGAACCGTCGGAATGCAGGAGTCGTGTCAGGTCGGGCCCGCCCGACATCGACGTCGGATCACATCGCTCGGATCGAAACAGACCCTGTCGGGGCCCTTCTCTAGAATAAGAAAACTACATGAACATAAGCTTTTGGAGGTCCGCGTGGATATCATGGATCGGCGCCTCCCTGGCGCGCGGAGCGCGCCAGGGGTGGCGCCAGAGGCGCCGCCAGGGGTGCCCAGCGCCGATCCGAGAAAGTCACTCGGACCTCCGCGGAGTTACTCTGGACGAGGAAAACGCTCCCCACCCCCGCCGAGGAGACATCGGCCCCGCTGGGCAGTCTACCCCCCTGAGGTGGGGATGGGTACCGTCTCCTTCGGATTTCGGAACACCCATCCCCACCTCGAGTGGGTACGCAGAGGGGGTGGGGATGGCTCCGACGATGCTGCATTACTACGCTTACGCCGTGTCGCCCTCACCGAAGAGAAACCCATCCCCGCCTGCGCCAATCGCCGTGAACGGCACCATCTTCCAGACGCGGTGGTCGGCCTCCCGCGCCGGCAAGAAGAGCCCAGATTCGAATCGCTGAGGCGGATCGGCGATCGGCATGCATCGGGCCTGCGAGCATCGGCAACCAGGTCGGGAGAAGCCGAATCGGTGGAACTCGGAAGGCCGGTAAGGTCTCCATGGGGAAACCCAAATCCACATCAGGACCCGAAATCGAATCGAATCTGAATCGATCGATATCGAATCCCTGGACGCCCGGAATGGGTACGAGACAAACGGGTACGATACCCAACAGCGTGTGTTGTCCAAAACCTGCAGCGGCCGCTGCTGGGCGGGCGGCCTGCTGATCAAATTGAAAGCGTCCGCGGCGACGCCGACAGCAAGTCCAATTCAAAATGACCAGGGACTGCTGTCGGTCTTTGCCAGAGTGAGGGGGCTGAACCGAACGGTCATTCACTGTCCCTGGGTGCGTGGCTGAAGTGGAATTCCGTGATGCGGATTATTGTTGTTGTTTGTTATTTGTTGTTTGTTGTTGTCGTCGTCCCACCCGCGACCCGCCCCGCGACCCACCCGCGACCCACCCGCGACCCACCCCGCGACCCACCCCGCGACCCACCCGCGACCCACCAGCGACCCAGCCGCGACACACCCTGCGACCCGCCCGCAACCCACCCCGCGACCACCCCCGCGACCCCCCCGCGACCCACCCGCGAACCACCCGCGACCCACCCACGACCCACCCGCGACCCACCCGCGAACCACCCCGCGACCCACCCAAAATTTTCGTCGCCTGCTGCGGGTTTCTTTTGCATTCGTTCCAGGTGGAGAACGACCCACCCGCGACCCACCCGCGACCCACCGCGACCCACCCGCGACCCACCCGCGACCCAAACCGCGAGCCACCCAAAATTTTCGTCGCCTGCGGCGGGTTTGTTTTGCATTCGTTCCAGGTGGAGAACCTGCGACCCACCCGCGACCCAAACCGCGTTCAGAATACAAATCGAAATGTTCGGTGTCTGCGGCGGGCTGTTTTTGAATTCCTTCCAGGTGGAGGTGGAGAGGCCGCGTCCCACCCGCGACCCAAACTACGTTCACTGAACAAGCCAAAAGTTCGGCGCCTGCGGCGGGTTTCTTTTGCATCCGCTCCAGGTGGAGAACCTGCGACCCAAACCGCGTTCAGTGTACAAATCAAAATTTTGAGCGCCTGCGGCAGGCTGTTCTTGAATCCCTTCCAGGTGGAGGTTGAGGTGGAGGAGGAGGAGGAGGACGGGAGGAGGAGGAGGAGGAGGAGGAAAAGGAGGAAGAGGATGAGGAGGTGGAGGAGGCGGAGGCGGACGACGACGACGACGAGGACGAGGACGCGGACGAGGAAGAGGAGGAGGAGGAGGAGGAGGAGCAGGAGGAGGAAGAGGGCGCCATCGACAGGGAAGGTGAGGGCCGCGAGGTCCGCCAGCTCGACGCTCGCGTCGCCCGCGCCCGCCCCCTCACTCTGATCCGCAATTGCGGGGTGCTACATACCCATTATTTCCGTATCCTTTTCTAGGCGGGGCGCCCAGGGGGAGAGTAGGATGGGGCGGGTAGTATCAGATGGCTGGGAAGTTCCCCAGACTTCGGAGAAGGTTCCTAACGCTTCTCCGAAGACACAGACAACTTCTCAGAACGCGCCGGGGCTTCTGAGAAGTCCCGCCGCCTTCTGAGGAGGCCTTCTCCTTCTCACTTCCCCCCTCGCGCTCGCCGCCGAACTTCGATCGCACCAAGAGTCGAGTCGGAGGAGTCGAACCGAGCCCCGCGCCAATGGGGGGCGCCGGGGGCGCCCGAGAGGGCACGGGAGCCGCCCGAGAGGGCACAGGAGCCCGCCGGCGCCGCGGGCCCCGCCAGGCCGCTTTTTTTTACCCCGCGGGCCTCCGCGCCTCGCGCGAGAGCGCGAAGCGCGAAGGGCCTCGCGCTCTCGCGCCGCCCCCCATGGGGAGACGAGGGGGAGGAGGAGCCGGGGCCGAACCGCGAAGCGTGAAGAGCTTGGCGTCCTCGAGGGCGCCCTTGGCTCAGGGCCAGGTTGTCGCTTCGCGCTCTCGCGCCGCCCCGCCACGCACCCACCGGGGGGCGAAGAGGAATACGACGAGGATGAGGATTGAGCACCGCGAGTCGCGAACGGCGAGTGACGTCGCGCCTTCGTGGCGGCCCTCGCCGCCACATCCTCCTGGCTTCTGCATTCTCCCTCTGCTCTTATGTCCTCTTCACTCTCCATCGCGCCGCATCGAGACGCACATGCTACACGCAT